GGGGATGAATCCGTTCTGGTATGGTCTACCTAGTCGAAACAAAAAGAGTCTTGTAATAAAAACTTTATAAACAAGAGACATTGGTTTCATTCTACACCATCTTCCCAAGAATAATAATTTTCTAATGTCTATATATGCCTCAATAGAGGTCCAACCAAGTAAGGATGTACACATGTCTGTTCTGGTTCTTTTTTCAAACCCTTGAATACGTTTAACAATAAAATGTTGTGCTCTTTCCAACATTATTATTTCGGTTTTTGTCAATTGATAAAGCTCGCACCCGTATAAGGCGGATGGATAAACTTTAATTTTGATCAGCTTCGCTACTGTTAAAGGGTTGAGAGCACAAGGATGTGCACCGGAACGAACAAGGGACATCGTACCCGATCTTAACTTATTACATGCAAGTGTTGTTCTCTCAAAAGAGTTCTGTTTAGAGTTTAATAATAAATACCAACATGTGTAATGCCGTCAGTCTGTGGCATAATACAATTGTAGAGAAAAAGATCTTTATACATAGTACAAGTTCTACTACTTGGGTTTGTGAAATTTACAATTTTGCTTTTTACAACAGATAATGAAAAACGCCATTTTTTACTATAATTCTCACATATTGATATCATTTTCTGAAGACTTTTAAGACTCGTACTCACCAGACAAATGTCATCTGCCTGTGTAGGAACATTAACATTTAAATCAACAATTACTGCACTTAAACCAGAATTCTCTATTTCATTTAATAAATCGTTAATAAATACTAAATACATTTTGGCAGACAACGCTCCTCCTTGTAATATTCCACGTTCCATTTTGAGCATGGAGGACTTTAATCCATTAAATAAAACACAACTTTCAACATTTGTATACATGCATTTTAGTAAAATCCACGTCTTGGCGTTTAGACCCAATTCATAAATTTTGTACAATAATCCAGCGTGCCACACAGTGTCAAACGCTTTGTTACTATCTAAGAAAGCAACGTGGACGTTGGAACCGTATTCAATATTATAACTAATGCATTCTTGAAGACTGAATGATGTGCATAAACTACACAAATTCTTTTGATAAGCAGACTGTTGTATATTTGGAAATACACGGGAATTTAAAACTCGTTGAATTCTTTGTATATAATGATGGTTTACGATGGAGAGTTATCGCGGGTTATAATATATGTGTATATATATAACACATTTTAGTTTTCTACATCATATGTAACTAGTGCAGAACGTATCAAGTGCTCTAGCTGTGACAGTTTTGTGCTATCAAACGCTTACATTTATACAAGTTGTATTCGAAACAAAGACGTTGACTAGATTTAGGTCGATTCAAGTAGGTCACTCATATAAGTGTCCTGCTGACGATAAGGAGGGGGCTACCTTTGTGAACTTGTCGAATGATAACAATGTGCTACTTAAGATTTGTAGTTGGCATTGATACAATATTATTATCTGTCAACCAATGGACATGTTTCTCTGAGGAAGTTAATTTCAGTCTAACCTTGATAACTGCAGTTCTTTTGAGTAAATGCATGGTTCGTAATACACGATCTGTAATGCCATTGTCACGTTCCTTATGATGTTATCATACCAATACAAAATGCATATACATGTTTAACAACATAAATACTACAATATTATAACAACGTCATACAAATTACATTGTCATAATAACAATGTTATACAACAACAAAAACCAAGAAAATACCGAAGTGTCAACAAAACCATAATTCGTACACAAAATAGCGAAAACTAAAAAAACAAAAGAAAATTTACACGAGGGACCCTTGAAAAAGTACAAGGAGAAAAGACCAGGTCTTCAGGAAGGTTAAGAGTCTTCTGCTTCATCGTCGACAACCGCCATGTAAATCGAAGTCAAACCAAGTAATGTCACTTCCTTACATCCTGAACTCGGCTAGTGATAACAAAACAAAAATGGACTCTGATAAGACATCGACTTGCATATCACACAAAGAGGCTTGAGATCTTGTCCATAGACTTCATCATCCTTCATCATTGAAAACCATGTGTTCTCAGTTTGTCCGTCAGCAGGCGACATCTATCACGGAAGGCATAATATTCGGAGCAAGCTATAGAGTAGCGATCAAGGAGTGATGTTGCTATCAAGAAAAGGAAAATTTCAAAATTGAAAAGTCACAATCGCCCCGCGTATCATACAGGTTAGTAGAAAGCCGTCACTGTTGATCATGTTGTAAGTTAAGATTGAGGAAAGAGACTGAATTGGATGAGGATGTGTTGTCCTTTATTTCAAGCTCTGGAGGGTTTATACGATCGATGTGGTCCACAAATTTCTTGTTATTCAAAGACAGCACATCGTCAATATATCTTAATGTGAATTAAAGGACTTGGTTAGGTTTTTATTACCAGCCCTGAAAAGCTCATCAATAACTTCAGCTTTATATGAAAACAGACACAAATCAGAAGAGGGCACAGTTTGTTCTCATAGAAATTCCTACAGACTGGTCGAAAATTTAGTCACCGAACTGAATACATATACTGTTAACCAGGATCTTAATCATTCTTGCAATAATGTCTAACTTTTTCTTGTTTTGATCGTTTTCTTTTCAAAGAAAGGTAAACGGCGATATAATGAATATTTGTATATTACTTTTGATTTTATTTTGTGAAACGTACAAAAAAGCCAAAAGGAGGTACTCAGTATTATACAAATATTCATGATATCGCCGTTTACCTTTCTTTGAAAAGAAAACTCTCAAAACAAGAAAACAAATGCGTTCATCTGTGGAAGTAAACAATCGGTATTTAAGGATAGGTTTTTAAAGTGTTGATAGGTAACATTTAGTTAATACTTATATCCACTTTTAAAGATCCGGCTCAACTTTCTGTGTTTCAAATGACAGATTATGTAGTACAAGCAGGGAATTTAAAGTATGCCGGTTATGGTACAAGTGTAAAGCGCTTGCTCCGACATCGCAACTTTGATAAGACTTTCCATTATTTTATTACTTTTGAAAAATAAAAACAATTTTTCTTAAATTCAACGTTGAAACGCATTATATATATTTCAGGGCATCTTGTACCATGCTCTTTGGAAAAGCCCTGCGTTTCGACCAGACACACCGCTTGTTGTCTTAACCTTACTTCTCACACGTGTGTAGTTCAAATTAGGTAAGCGCTCCGGCTAGCGCTGTGACATATCATCCTAATTCTCGGTATCTGGTTGACCATTTTTGGACCTGTTCCAACATGAGTCTCGGTATGTTAAACTCAGTATGGTTTCATAAAGTATTTGGAGGTTCTAAAGAAGTTTTATATATATGTAAGTACTTATAATCATTGGAGCATACACTGAGTTTGTCTTTTATAAACTGCACACTTTTTAAAGTTTTAAGTGTTAGGGTATTGCGTACAATTACTCAGAAATCCTTCTCGTGGTGCGAGTGCTTCATTGAACAAAGATATGTACCATTGACTTCGATAATTCAGTGGTGGTACATTGTGAGAAAGAGCATATCATTCACATTTCCGGAACGAGAATCTAAACAAGAGGCCTGCTAGGTCTTAACGCTCACATGAGTACTAATAAAAAAATGTCTCAATCAATCAGAGGCCACATGGTCCATCTTAGATTTACTGATCGGAACGAAATGTAAAATAGCACTTCTTTGGGACCTTTTGTACTACGTTCTAGAGAAGAAGTCGAAAATGTCTTAGCCAATCAGAAACCATGGCAGCTATCTTGCATTGTTGGTCAGCACTAAAAGTAAGAACATTTTTAAGGTACCTCATTGGAAACATTTTACCAAGTTTGAAGTGAACCGTCCAGTCATTCGAAAATGCCTAAGCTGCGGCCATCTTGCATTTTCAGATTGGCATGAAAGGTATGAACATTTATTGGGGACTTCGAGCGTTTGGAGTCAATCAGTGCAGTCGTTCCTGAGATCTGATGAAGTCAAAAATATCTCCTTAGCCAATCAGAGGCCATGGCGACCATTGTAGAATTTCTGAATTGGCATATAAGTATGAACACAACTTGTTGAGGAACTCGTAAACAATATTTTTACTTTTAGTTTGGAGTCAATCAGCACAGCCGTTCCGTAGAACAAGTTGAAATTAAATGTCTCAGCCAGCCAGATGACAGGACTGCCATTTTGAATTTTCGGATTGTCACTTAAGGTATGAATATTTAATTTGTTGGGGACCACATAAAGAGCATTTGTACTTAAGCCATTCTTGAACATCTGTTTGTGACCTCACACGGAAATATGTACCAAGGTTTAAAGTCAATCATGACACAGCTAAGTGGGTCAGCAGAAGAAGTCGAAAATGTAATTGTTTTACTGACGCACGATGGACGGCGCACGACGACAAATGCATGTAGCAATTAAAAACACGCATGTTTAAAGTGCCCTGACCGATCGTACTTTTTACCTCCGACCCTCACAATTTTTTTCTTCCGCAAACGCAGTCCATCATGTGTTGGGATAACTTGTCCACCTAAAACAAGGCAACTATACCCTCACTGCAACTTCATAAGCAGGCATCGAAGCATATTTAAATCCAATATTAATAATGTACTTAAAAGACTTAAAAAATATGTTTGGTTATGTTTATAATTTCATTTTGAAAAACATAAAGGAAAATAAAAATTAATCCCGACGACCTAGCCTATTTTTTCATTCATGCAACTTCTTTCAAACCTACATTGTAGCTAGTCTGTATATAATAGCATCATCCGTATTGTATATTTTGTTAATATAACGGCATCCAGATACATATAAAGCCATGGAGTATATACGTCTATGCGGCTTCTAAATTTTAAAAAAAATGAAAGGTTTGCACTGGTCAGCATACATTTGTAATATCTTAGCAAGGAATTGAATATATAGCGCCATGAAATTTTCTTGGTCTATGTTAACTCCTGTAGGAACTCTATCTAAATCAGAGATTTATAACGATAGAGTTGCTATCGTTATAAATCTCTGATTTAGATTAGAGTTCCTACAGGAATTAGGTCTATGTATACAGTTAGGATGGTGAGGGGAAAAAAACATTTTTTGCGATCCCCCGAGGTGAATTAGTTGTTGAGTGTGTCCAACATATATACGTCTCTGGTTTGTCCCATATCCATATTTGGAACAGTAAGCTTATTCTTTTCCTCGCTGTCCTATCCTAACACTCGGCAACTATAGGTTCGGTTATTTAAAACGATGACCCAATGTTGACATAGCATAAGCTGTACAACGTATTTAAACAGTAACGTACGTAGCACGGACTTAAATAGCATTCTTGGGTATAAGTTACTGTTGTCGAACAGTAGGACAGGGGATGTCCTAGTAAGGTAACACGTAGATTCACTTGCATATGTATGACAAGGTTCTGCCCGTCAACATTACGGAAACACGAATAAATCTTGTTGATGAACACGTGTTAAAAAAGGCAAAATATTTACAAGTGTCAGCCTGTAGGGGTTAACTCCGCCTTATGAAAATCAGATAGGTCAAGGTTGGTAACCTCGTCGCTGATTGGTTGAATTGATACAGTCCCCATGTGATCAGCTTCTAACCTACATGCTGTGTGTATAGCAGTTGCATTCGGTGATTAAAACCATTATACTATGGTGATAAAATGTAGGAAAGGCGGTTAATGTTTACTTTTTAACAATTTCAAGATGCGTTGTCAAATAACACAACCAAATTCGATAGTTTTAGAAGTAGAAGTGGACCCTAAATCGAATGGACAAGAAGTTCTGGAAAAGGTAAGTTGTCAGTTTACCTTATGATGGATTCTCTCACAGAAAAAGTAACAGACGAGTTTATGTTTCCATAAAAACGATTTTATTTCTATCCAACAATACACATAATCTTTAGTTAACAATTAATTAGTATGATGTTAGTTCACTGTGTACAACAAAATCGCTGTCGTTTTCTTTAATAACGTTCCTATATGAACACGCCGTGATCAATGATCGACCAGGGTCCAAAGTCCAACCTCGGGTTTCGCTGGCCTTTCTGTGTGTATTCGAACAAAGAACGGGGATATCTTCACTACTTTATCGTGTTGACAGCTCGGTCGTTGCATTTTATAGCATGATATGAGATGAAATGAGCATGTAAATTCATCATATTTGATGTAACGTAAATTTCAAACAATTGTTATTGTGAGGTCAGCTGGCAGAGCACGATCAGCTGTAGTGTACTGTAGTGGAGGGGTTCTATTTTTAGCAAATATATAGCTTAGCAATCGTTCTCGTGTTCATTGGTCTACTTTACAGAATTATTCATAAAACACAATCTACAGCTAACGCGAAAACTTCATAAAGACATGATTGATTACATTTTTTAGTTAAAAACAAATAAAATAAATTTCTTTAAGTGATGCAATAACTCAATTTGTTCATTGATCAAAAATATATAAGGTCCCGCTTATGCAGTGTGCATGTAATAATAAGTACATGTATTTTGAAAAAAAATATGGTGAAGAGATACTCGATTGTCCAATGTTGGGATATTATATCATGTAAATTAACACATTTATGGAAATTACTGGTTTAAAAAATAGTCAGATATACATGTACATAATCCATCATTATTCAATGACCTGGAAACGAGTATTGGTTATGGCTTGATCGATGATTGCCATTTAGGAGCTGGGGACTTATATCTTCTTTTCTGTCATATACATGTATAGGTATACCAACTCTTTTTTTTGACAGTGTCTCCTTCATAATTAGCTTACACTTTTTACGAGGATGTTATAAAACAGTATTAAATGAAACAAGTATTATGGGATGAAGCTGAAAGATATATTGCTTCTACGAATGAGAGTAATTAAATTCAATAACACATATACTATATACTGCTAAAGCATTCAAGGACTATATATAGTTATCCAGAAACAATTTTCATATAGGGAAAGGGGCATACGTATACCTATACAGAATATCCTTCAAGCTACAGTGTAAAGGTAATTCTGTAGCAAGCCATCATTGGTAATTTTGGTCCATGCAAGATGCACTCAGCTTCCATTTAAGAAAATATAAGTGACCCACCATATCCTTTAATCCACTTGATATACATCTATTAAAAAACCTCACAAAAAGGTTCGTAGAAAGGTCATTTCATAGTATTATGGTCCGGCAGGCAAGTACTGAATCAATAGAAAATATTCTTTGGCTAAATACAAGTATTGAATTTTGAATCTTTTAGGTTTGCCAGCAACTAGGGATTGTGGAACAGGACTACTTTGGACTCCAGTTCCAAGGTGCTAAGGGCGAGCTGTTATGGCTGAACAGCAGAAACCCAGTGTGTAAGCAAGTGAATGGACCTATACCGTACAGGTTCCAGCTCCGTGTCAAATTTTACGTCCAACCTCATCTGCTGCTGCAGGAAGAATGCAGGTAATTATTATAACAGTACAAATTATATATCTACAATTACATATTTTTGGAGTATCAAGAATGGGCAGAATAAGTAATGAAACTTATTTTATGATGATAAAAATCTTACTGACAGTGATATTGACAACAGAAGACAATGTGCAGATGTGGATGTGAGATTGTGTTTAAATGTCATATTTATGAACAAGTATGAACTAATAACAATAACTTTCTATTTTGATTTTTCCTCAATATATATGTTCATTCAAATCTCTGAAAAAATCATAGATTCACTTCCAAATAGAGGTTATTTACTATCCATGTCCTTGGGGAGATACTATTTGTAGCCACTGTACCAACCACTACAGTATTTGTTTACTAGTATATATTTGAGTTACATCGATGATTCTTTCTTGGTAATCTGTTTTTTTCCCTTTTAATGTTTGGGGTGTGGGTGATGTTACTGTCCTGTTAAAATATAGAGAGAGATTTAATCATTTCTATTTATAAAGTGCTTTCTATGTTAGTAATTATATAAGTAATACAACAGGTATGAAAAAATTCAAGCATATTTAATGATAAATGTATATGTCTACTAAGTAACGATTGAAGCTTAAATTGTTATTGATCTGTGCCTTACAAGTGATTCCATTGATAGGTTATTTATAAATAGTCGACTTTTTGTGTTCTGTTGATTTTTGATCTTGTACAACCTTGTTATCTAACAATATGATATGTGTAGTAAAGAAAATCTGGATAAAATGTATATATCTACACTGACGTAAGATATTCAAACAGAAATTTATCTAAGGTATTGTGATCATACATATATATGGCCTTGTTATCGAGATCACTTTTCATTTTGAATTCCCACATAGGGACAATGTTAAATTTTGCTGTAAACATTGTTTTGGACAATACATTTTTCATGTTTGAAAACCTAAAAATCAGATACAATTTTACCAGAAACTGTCTTAAAAGCAGCAAGCAGTGTGCCAAAGTTGCCCAAAATAGGAAAGAAAGAAAATTGTTGGAAATAAAAAAGGGAATAAGTTGGGGAAAAAACACATATTTTGTATGAAAGACTTTTGGCAAGTCAAATACCTTTTAATATATTTTATCATCAAACTAATAATTTCTGTTAAATTTAAGTTGTAAAAATGTAATAAATATATCACTGGTAATAGGAACAGAAAAATGCACAACCAGACTGGGATTCAAACCCGGGACCCTCACAATTCTAGACAGACACTCTACCAATTGAACTACCTACATGTAGTCGTCAACGATCGACCCAGTCCAGNCCAGTTCTGCTTCACACTTAAACCCCCCCCCCCCCCCCCCTTAATAAAGCCAACTTTTTGCTGACTAGTGTCGTCAGTATGATCAAGGTTTTACTACATTAATATCTAGGGAATACAGGTAAACATATGGAATGTTGTTGAACTTTGATGTTGTTGAACTTTGGACTGTGTCGGGAATCACTGATAACAAACTATAAATATTAGATTATATAAACTGTTGATAGGACTTTGCCCAAGTGCTCAAGATATCCTAAAACTTTTTTAATATTTCTCTTTTAAAGCATTATAAAAGAAAATCCATATATACATACACTCAATTTTCAAAAATGTTAACATGGACTTTTATAATATAAAAAAATGTACAAAACTGAGTGAACATCCACCTAGTGTAAACAACAATAAAAGACATACAAGTGACTATCTGGACTTTGACCCGTCTTCAAACAGTACTGTAAAAAGTTGTGGTTATGACTCAGAATCAGCTGGTTTGCCTAAAGGGTTTTCCTCGCGTAGGTGTAATAAAGTTAAATTGTGAGAACAAAATCAGCCTTTATATATATGTTACAGTACATGTAGAAGATCCAAGTTTAAATATATAAACTAAAATCCATGTCCCTGCTAGCTACAAAATCTTAACAACCACCACGCATCTGTTGATAAGGTCATTTACAGTATTATTGAGGACGTTATAACATGAGCTAGCTACAATATGTAGTGTCACTGATCTATAGGTGAGTCCAGGGTTTCAATCAATACTCGGGGCCTGCTGATTTACATGTGCAGTAAGTGACCTATATATATTTTTTCTAAGCAATGTGTAAACAGGATCTAAAATCTCGGTCAACCAGCTTTATTTACAAGTGTAACACTAAGACTTAACAAAACCACATGTATCAGGTGACCACAGACCCTCAGGTTTATAATTTGTCCTCAAAGTAAGTTTCTCTCTTCAACTTTCACAACAGTGGAGTTCATCTGTACTAAGTGTGCATGCACTGATGAATTCAAATGCTTGTAAGATTTTGTGGAAAACCAAAGTGTATACAAAGCTTATCAGGTGTCACTTGTTCCAGTGTTTTAAGTGTTTTGTTTATGTACCCATATAAACCTTAAGCCTTTTTATTATCTTGCATTATCTCCGATTTAGAAACACTGATATTGGTTAATATATTCTGTTGACCTATTTAATGTAAATTTATGTATTAAAGGTCATGCAAACGTATGAGTCATGCTTTGTTGTTGTAAACATGCAGCTCTTCTAGAAAATCATCTCCAGGCATTTTTGAAATCTACTAGTTTCTGTTTCAAACCACGAATAGTCCAGAAAAGATATATATAAATATATACCAGTATTTTATTAAGCTTAATGGAAGATTATAGTCATATTTTTTTTTTAGCTATGCATGTACAGACATTGATCAATAGAATTTCTTCACATTTTAAAGAGAAAAAATAGTGATAATTAAATATATATATGAAATGAAAATAAAGTGATGTAATAACACATAGGGTGACTTGTTCTTAGAAAGGGTTCTTAGATCTTAGTACATGTATGACTAAGTAAATCTTATTATCTAGGTCATTCAGTGATATTTTTTATTCACATGGTATCCAAATCTTTCATGACGTCAGCTCTTGACATATGGTGTACATCAGATCAAGATATCTGTTGTATTGATTAGAAACCGACACATATATGAAGAATGTACAGATATGTATGTAGATATATAAGCATCTTGTTCAGTCTGTTCTTGTTTGATAAGAGTTCATGTACATTGTCATTGTATAAACTGAAATTCTTCAACCAAATTCTTCATATTATAAACTAAATCAGAAAAATGAAGGTAGAATTTTAAATCTGTAAATACACTACTTTGGTCTTATTTTTTTTTATTTTTTAATATTTCAATCCTGAATCATGTGCACATAACATTTTAATGTGTACATTAAACTTAAAAGTGCACTTCTCTGTGTGACTTAACTGCCTATAAGGCGATGGGACCAATATTATCCAAGTATTTAGTTAAGCTTTTCTTTTGGGCGTGTACACTTTTGTGGAATTTTATGGAAATTGATGCCTTTCCATTTCACTATCAAGCTGCTGTCACAGCTCAGCTGCAGCTAAGGTAATGTTGTCTGGATGTGACAGCCAGTGACCCTAGTCTCAAAAATACCAATACCATCCATTGATTAGATTTCAATTCAGTTATTCATCAAAGCTGAAGACACTCCAGATCTTACCTGGCTTACTAATGAAGGGAAAAAGTTATACATTTTATGTTGTACTGGTTCTTCTTATGGTTCTTCCAATAATACATGTACCATGTCTGGGCTGTAACTTTTAAACCATGAAATATATCCTGGATTACACTTACAGTGTACCTGCATCACCCAGTGAAGGTGTGTATTGCTCTGTAATAAGGTTAATATGACCTTTAGTTCAAGGTCAGAGGTAAAATATATCTAGGGAAATCTAGTCTGAGCCATACATTTTAAACTGTTCAGTGTTCAAGTTATTTTGATGAAAATGGAAATGTACATGAAACCTCATCAGCCAAAAGAAGTGTGCACTATACATTTGAATAAGGTCACAGTGGCCTAAACCTACAAATGTATATGTCAAAGGTCAAGTAATTAAAGAAATGTGCAAAATTTTCTGTGAATTCATTTGAAAATATCTTGGTGAAACTTAACAGATGCCTGCATCACACACAAAAATAGTGCAGTGCACTTTATTAAGGTCACCTAACCTTCATCTTTAGTTTTAAGGTCAAATAAAAAAAATAAAAAAAATGTGTGCTACATGATTAAAGAAAAGTCCTATACTGGATGGCAATATGGGAAACCCAGAAAAACCCTCTAAAACTGCCGCTGCACAACTTTTCAAAATTTTATAAAAAGTAAAGTTTGCTATGCCTGTTATTTAGGACCTCTATTTTAAATGCTGAATTATTCATTTTTATCCTGCTTTAAATTTAAATCTTAACCGAAAGAAAAAAAATCAGTTTATAATTTCCACTGCGCACTAACCTACAATGTATTGTAATGTACATATAAAAATAGAATCATGTAACATTGATGATGTCACATAACTTGTGGGTTTCCCAGTTTATGACCACAATAAGACATTAGGACCTACACGTGATATAAACATGTACAATCTAAGTTTAAAATAAATTAAATGTGAATATTCATGAAACCTGTGATTGGACAAGTCATTGTACAATAAAAACTTCGATGTATGGTGACGCCTTACTTCGCTTTTTTGTATAAACATGCATCTAGATGATGAGTCAATCTATGCAATATTTCATTACACAGTTTTAATAACATAAAACTTTAATGATGTACTCTGATTAGTCTTTATTTTTTTATTTTTTTTTGTAACTTAGAATTTTATTCAGATTTTTCAAACACATACGCATGACAAATAATGAGATACAAGTCTGTAAATTATGACAGGAAAAGATGGGTAATTGTACAGAACACTCATCTTACAGATTTCATACTACTCTACTCACTACATGCCATACATATAAACTTATTACACAGCCTTTGCCTGACTGACATTTATCATTAAACCATACACCCATTTTGCCTGTACCCATTTGTACACACAAAATACTTATGGCCTTGCAGTTATTGAAAGTTTGAGATGAAAATCCAAAAATATAGGATTGTTTATTGTAATTAAAACGGATGAAAAGAGCATCTAGTAGACTTCTTAGACTATCTAGTAAATTCTGGACTTCTTGACATTCCCACAGGATGTTCAGAGTTACATAGAGTACAGAGAGGAGAAATAACTAGATGTGTTTTAAAGAGAAAAGAGTTTGTGGTTAAAATATGATGATTAACTCTGTACTGAAACCATTGTAGTTTGGTGTTTTTTGTAACACTGAAGGGAATCTTGTATATTCGAGCCCATGTTGAATCATTCAAGTCAAAGACTTTGTTCCACTTCTTTTTACCTGTTGGTACAGTATTATTTTTTATAAAAATATTATAGAAATCTTTCGAGCCTTTTCTGTTTTTCAGGAATAATTCAATGTTCATTGGTAAAATAGGATATGGGAGTTTTAGTTTAGGGATTTCATTTGAAGATATAAACTTTCTCACTGCTGACGAAATGCTATGATACTGGAGGAAATTTGTTTTTACCCGATATGTGTGAATAATTTCCTGGAAACTATGAAAGCTTCCAGTATTCTGATCTGTTATTAAGTCATTTAAAGTTATAATATTTTTGTCATAAAAATTCTTAAAAAATACTGATTTCTGACCAACAGCTATATTTCTGTTAAACCATAATGGTGTTTTTAATATAGAATCCTTCATAAGACTATATTTTTCAATTAATAAATTCAAATGGTACCAAGCTTTGAAAACATCAACCCAGAAAGAATTTCTATAATGTACTCTTTTAGACATTTTTGCACAAAATCATTGCCACAGTTGGCTAGTAGATCTATGTTAACATAACTTTTTAAAATAACTTGCCATTTAGCTGTGGTCTGAAAAAGCCTTCTGATCCAAGATAATTTTAATGAATCTATAAATTCTTTTAAATTAATCATTTTAAAGCCACCGTTAAGGTATTCTTGGATGATAACTTCTCTTTTGACTTTGTCTGTTTTGCTGTTCCACAAAAATTCAAAAATAATAGAATTAAGTTAAGAAAGGAAATGTTCATCAGGATTTGGCAGTGCTATACATAGATGGTTGAATTGTGAAACGAGAAGTGATTTAATAATATGGATTAGTCTTTATTAGTGACATACAAGTATCAGCATTTATTGTGGACAGCAGGTGTACATGGACAGAATTAAACAACAGCAGACTGAGATCAGCTACTATTTTTACCTGTGTATATTCACACCTATGACAAATTCCAGTTCCTTCTGAGTTCATTAGTACAATTGGCAGAAGAAGCTATTAATAGTTTTTAACTCATGTGTATTTTTGGCAAGTAAATTCAAAAGTCTTGGTGCCTTGTTACATGTATGTAAATCTACATTTGGTGTAACAGTATATTACGCTTTGACCTGGAGGTATAATAGTTTATACGTAGGTACATGCGACATTCATATACCTGTAGGCGGCACAGATATTATCGTATATATAAATATCAATGAGCTATGGAGTAATGCTATAGCCTAACTAGGTTAATACCTGTACCTCAGGCATTAAGAACAGTTTGTAGATACACAAAAAACTTGTAGCTTCAGTTTGACATGCCCATTATTCATTTAAAATATTCCATGGTGCAAACATAGACACATGATTTTTATTTTTTTCAAATGTTAAGAAAATTCTTGGATTTACATTAAATACAAACATATATCAGGGATGGAGGATACAAATTTGCCTGTTATGTAGCTTTTGATTATAACTGGTCAGATGCAGTTAATCACTCTTTATAAAGTACCTCTAAACTACTGGTTCCGTATTCAAATTTATCTGTCTAATTCCTGCTTTCATCAAAAATATTCTCTGGTTCCTAACCTTTCCTAAAAATTATGAATATGCTGAATATATAAATGCAGTGGTATATAAGTGTCATTGTACCTTATAGTTCCTTTATATGTACCAAGGTATAGATAGTGGTCTTTGAAACAAATCTCAAGGCACATATAAATGTGTTATCTGTTTCAGCAGATTTGCAAACAGATATGATACATGTACAGAGCTGAAACAAACTTTTACAGCACCATTTTATTATACCTCCTCTTTATAACATCATGTCTGATTGGTCGAGTTCTGAGTGATTGAAGCAGAGACGTTCAGTGTTGTGTTGATCTATTGCCCTTGTGGTAGGGGCACATGGTTCTTTGTTTTCCTTTCATGTTCACAACGGCTTTGTCATTTAAAACCTGATTAATCTCAGGTTATGTAAGTCTTACAGCCAATAGTAATATATTGTGGTAAACGTATGTGTCGTTTTTGCAGGCACCTGTTCTACCAGCAAGTGATGCATGAGCTGAGATGTGGAAAGCTTCAGGTAACAGATGAGGCTCAGCTAGTTCGGATTGCCTCCCTTTCTGCCCAGGTGGAGTTAGGAGACCAGGTAGACAATCCCATGCTGTTGCAGCTGTACGAAAAAATTCTGGAGGGTTTGACCCCTGACCCCTCCAGTGATCTGGTCAAGGAGGTGGCTATAGGACATGGAGATCTGATGAGGGTAACCAAAGCACACGCAGAGTATCGTTTGTTACAGGAGGCATCCATAATAGAAAACTATGGTACAGAGTATCATGAGGCTAAGAACTTGTCCGGAAACTCTGTCAGCATTGGGGTCGGACCAGAGGGCATTTTCTTCTACGACCTGAATAATGAGTTGTTTGAAAAGTAAGTAGCAAGCGATGCCGTCAGGTTACTTTTATGTGTTATTTTATGAATAGCAAATTGGTGTAAAATTGGTTTAATTACGTAAAAAAATAGTTATTAAAGACTTGTTTTAGGTACTGATGCCAGAGATTCAGTTTGAAGATGTTCAATTTTGCGTACGTAAATAAGGTTTTGACAGGGATCAAGTAGAAATACTTTTACATAGAAACAAAGACTGGAGACTAGCTATTAAAGCTACATTGTACAGAAGTTATTCCTTGAGCTTACATTATACTTATATTATTGAGTGAAATGAACAAATAGCACATATACTATAACAGGTATATAAACAGTTACATGTACATGTATGTCTAGTACACCTGGCACTTCATGCTAGTAACAGGTAATTTATGGCTACTAGTATATCAACTGATTGTTGTTTACCTGGTTGTACTTAAGGCTGACCGAGATATATCACTCATATAGTACAGTGTTTGTTTGCCTCCAGTAAAGTCATGGCTATTAATTATAACTATACATATACATGTTAACATGTATATATATATTTATATAGACGGCTCAGTGGTCATTGATCATGAAAGCAAGAGAATTGTGAGTTTACTACGTAGAATATACACAACAACTCAGTGACCCTATGACCAGTGTGTACAGCCTCGAGGTCTGTCCGATATCTATATGGATGGACTTTGTACTGGTCATTGTACACACACTAGGGTCATTCAAGGATTGAATATACAAATTTTCATAGAAACTTACATATTGTTGTATTATATTTGCCTTTTTTCTCTACTTTATGCTTTTTATAATATTTGAAATGAGGTTTCTAACAGCTGCAAGTGTCTCGCATACATGTATATATTATGTTTTCTATGTGTGATTTGTACATTGTACATCTTGATACAGTTTAAATTGCTAATGGTCATTATCAGAACTCCTCAGGAAAGTTATTTGAATTTTACACTATGTGCCATGTTCTGAATCTACTTATGAGGAAGTGTTCATCAGAAAGGATGCTCGAATTTGATTTATGATGTGGGGCATTTCTAAGGGGGTCAGCATTTATAAGGTCAAATACTGTAATATAGTAGATCAAAGTTCTTGGAACAGGGAAGTTAATTAGTGTCGCCTTTGTCTTGACAGGTTGGAATACTCCATGGTGATGAAGGCAATCCATGATAGAAATAAAGTGATACTGGAAGCGTATAATGACGAGGGGGAGACCAACAAGTACGAGTTTAAGATGGTCAGCACGAGAGCTGCTAACGCTCTGTATCGCTGTATTACTGAGATGCATTCCTTTTTCCGCTGTGATACTGTCCATGATGAGGTCAGCCTGCAAGTGACCCATGACCTCAAAGGGGTGCTTGCCTCCATCTTCAGTGATAACACCGCAAGTGGTAAGAATACCATACATGTCCCTGTACACTGAAAAAGTCTACCATATTTCACCTTGATCTGATTATAGACAACTCCTGTCATTAAACCCATCTGCTTGCATTGTTTAAAAGACTTAATGATGTGAATGGAATCTTTAGACAAGATCTTGCTGCACAGGGGTAAAACACAATTTGGTATGATGGCATAGAGATACAGTGTATTTCTCTTTTCAACTAACAGTAATGGCATAAACATGCATTTGTAATCAGAAAAGAAAATGGCAATATTTACATTATCCATAATCGGCTTGCAGGTGCTACATATTTTGTACTTGTATTATGGTATACCTGTTCATTCTTATCAAAATGAGTATAAAAAGTAAATTTAAAACAAAACCATTCTGTGTAAAGTATTTAATAATCATATGAAATTCAGATTTTTATAACACATTGTGCTTGATTGTTTCAGGCCAAAATTATGTATTTGATGTGAAACAAACCTGTAAAGAAGTGTATGATAGCACTCGGAGAAAATTACTCAAACAACAACAAGTTCCCATGTCTCTGGCAGCGAGCCAGGAGGACATCTCACAGTCAACAGACAACAAGGAAAACAACGAAGAGCAGCAAGTTCAGGTAAATCATTTGTCAAAGTTGAATGCCATAATGACTTAATACAATTAAGAATGACTGAACAGTAAAGCCACATACAGTAGTTTAATTGGTTGTAATACATATGTAGAGGTTGTATTTCAGTGGCTTGTTGCTGCATTGAGGAGAGTTCCTAAACTCATTCACCCCTGAAGACACATTCAAACTCTTCCAATTCAAAGGTTGGAATAGTTCATTTTAAAATTTTAGGGGTGAATGAGTTAATAGACAATCAAAAAGAACAAAAGAGAATAGTAGATTTTAGAGGATAATATGGACAGATGATTATTATATATTTACTATAAAGTCTAGATAGTGTCTGCCATTCCTTTTTTATAGACATTTGGAAAATATGATCGAACTATTTACAACAATGTTTACGAAAGGTCATCAGGTAAAAATTGATGATTATAATATGAATCCAGAAAACAAAGTAATTGTGACTAGAACATATACACACAACAACTGTACACTGTTTAACATGGTTCTTGAGTGTAAATCTGAGGTGTGATATAGCAATTTAAATGATTAAGAAGAGTGCTAGCTGTATTCAGTTCCTTTTCAATTATGAGGCCAAAAACCAGTAATGAGGTCGATGCTAACATACATGCGACATAGCAGGGTAAATTTGTAGACTCTAGACCTGATACTTTGAGATATTTCCTGTTGATAGAACAAGTGATAGTGTTCACCACTGTTTGATCACGCTGTTAGCTATACACAGCCTTGTGTGTGTGTGTACATATCCTGGTCGTGACTGTACTTGAAGTTTGTCCCGTTGAAAGTCTAAGGGGGGAGGGGGGTATATATGCATTATGATACCCTATAACCTTTTATGTTATTTCCGTTTTGACAATATTGTGGAAGTTTTAAGTTTGTGATTGTGAACAAGAACTTGATTGTCCCTTCATCATTGAGGTTGTCACTATAAAAGATGAATGAACTTCATACATTTATGTACAAGTTGTGGTACATATTATGTGTATAAGACCCAGAATATTGGGTCTTGTAAACCCCTGGATGTGAGATCAATTGAGTTAATAATCTTTTAAGAAATGTACCTCACAAGAGAAAGTTTTTTCATATCTATGTCATGATAAGATCTTTGCTGAATACAGCAAGAATATTGCCTTATTATGAATGGAAAAATAATTCTGAGGGAGTTTTAATTGTTGTACAAAGTATTTTTGCTGTAGTTAAACTGTTTTAAGCAAAAGTAAAACATAAAAAGAATAACAGACGAAGGAAATCAGATTTCTGTCAAGTCAAAAAAGGATAATTTGTATTTTTACTAGTTTTCAATTGGTTGTTGTAATTAACAAGGTCATTGATAATAAATGAGTTTCCTGTTCTGCTTCAGATGCTGAAAAACAAGTTGGAGACAATCCAAGACTCTTTTGTGTGTAAAGTGTGTATGGACAATGATATCTCAACAGTGCTGTGTCCGTGTGGTCACATGGTGTGCTGTAATGACTGTGCATCGCAGCTGGCCGAGTGCCCGCTGTGTAGAACTTCAATAACGACGGCACAACCAGTCTTTCTCCCGACAGCTTTCTGTGTGAAAACGTAGTGATCGTGCCATGGGGGGAGGGGAGACGTGAGCTCGTCATGACAATAAAACAGAAAAGAAGGTATTCATTGATGAACAAGAGCATGCAGTTCTGATATTTACTTATGAATATTCATGAGTTTGTGCATCAGCGGTCGTCCAGGCTGATAAGTGATTATTGGATGAAGACGCTTCGGAGGGTTGTATTCAGTCATGATGAAAGGAGAGACATTTACAGATAAAGACTGTTATCGGGATTGTGCATTAACTTGACATTTATCATTAACATAATTATATTTTTCATATTCCTCTCATGTCTCATCAGTCAACACTGTGTTGCCATTATTTATCATTTGGTTTTGTCAGCAATGTGAAATTTTACAAAAAAAAAGTAATCAAAATATAGTATTTTACATGTGTATGATACTTGTACTTATGATAGCAATAGCATACACTGATTTCACAAATATTCACCTTGATCACATCATCCAATTACAGATATGTCTAAAAATGTAAATGTTGCTTAAATTAATGATGAATGATTTTATCATATAGAATTTGTCCTCAAGATTTGATTGAACAATGAACATATCTGCCAAACCATTCATATGATTTTTTTTATCACAAACATAATATTATTGAGCTTGAGAAAATCTAATTTGCCAGATATTCTGACACTATAGACTATGCATGCTTATTCACTGTATCACACCGGAGGTATTTTCGAGCACTTTGTTAGGTCATATAGTCACCATATTCAACATACTTACTGATGTGTATATGTTTTATTATTTAAGTTTTAAAAGTGATCCAGTTCTTTACAAGTTGAGACTGATTGTTTCAATCTACTAGTCTTTACAAGTACCTTCCAGTATAAGCTGGGTCAAAAATATTATGACTTTGTGAAAGAATTGGATGCTTTCATGGAAAGATGTTTTTTTCTGGGACGGGTGGTCATTGTGGTAGGTAAACCCTAGTGTCAATGTCTTCTCTGCAGAGATCTACAGTTGTCTGATATTTACAAGGCCTACCTCTCTCTATAAATAAAAACACATTCCTAAAATATTTATGCTTACTGTAGATTATTCATTTACTTTGGATTCTCTACAACTAAAAGTGAAACTTTCAATCTACAAAAAATGGCAATCGTTACAAATCCAATCTTTTGGTAAAACTTGTGTGATATTTGTTTGCAAGAATATTTATGGGATGTATTATATAGTGCTTAAATTTCGAGAGGTTGAACTTTTTGGGGGGGGAGTTTAATTTTGTGCATACTGTAAATAGTCAGTGTGTCTGACTCTTTAACAGTAAAGGCAACAGACATCTAGTGTTGATATTTTAATGTCTTTTTTTTCATGTCCCAAAAATATAAACCTTTGCAAAATATAAGCACTATATACATGTAGAATTGTAAATGATGATGTTTTCCGATGCAGCTGGGAAATTACCATGTTCATATTTTCTGCATTAAATTCTCTAGTAGTTATACACACTGATGCTTATAATATTTTCTGTCATCATTTTTGTTAGTCCATTTCACATGATATGAATCTTTCATGTGATTTGTGTCGTTAAAATCAGTATCATTTATTTATTCAAAGGAAATTTGAATTCTGTGCCTTAAACAGATAAATGCAATATTCAAACTACTTACTACAGAATGAAGCTCCATCACTGAAACATCTGTATAAAATTATGGAAAAAAAACCTTCAAACTATTGATTTTATTTGCATTTTTTTCTCTATGTTTCCAGGCTTTTGTTTTGGTGTAGATACCCAGTATGACAATTTCACCAGCATGGTCATAGCAGCCCCAATTTCGATGTCCTGTATATAGGACGCAGTTCACTTGTACAGTAACTTTGTGATAAAACATACATTCATACATTGTATATATTAGAATGGTTCATTTGTTCTACAATCAACTTTTATGCTGACTTTATTTATTTTGAATGTTTTAACTTGACTGTCATAATGTACTGACCTATTGTTTCATGTATATGTTGGTTTTTTTTTCCATCATTTTAATTTCATCTTTTCAGCATTTCTACATTTTATAAATGATTCTGGATATAATAAAAACAGATCATTGTGCCATAAATCAAATGAAATGTAATTTAAACCCACAAACCACTGTTAAACTGAAGTTTAATTTATGTACACCACTTCCTATGTAATTAGTGAACTGATGTGATGGACCATGGAAAATGAACATTTTGTAGTTCTTATGCTTTTGTTTAGTTAGACTTTGTTTTTCTGAAAATTATTCAAATACATGTATATTTTTTCTTTTTCCTTACATTGATAAAACCACTTAATACTTGTATCCATCAATGTTTTTAAGATGTTGAGAATGTTCAGTGTATTTTGTGTGTTTTTTGACTGTACAAGTTAACAGTTTGGTTCTGATCTTGGCTGTATCAAGATGCATCAGATCTGTAAATCATTCAAATTGCTGATATATTTCATAATTTAAAATATACCTGGTATAAATAAAAAATAAAATCATGCCTGTTGTGGGATTCAAAATTATCACCAGCAGAAAAAAGAATTATTTTGGTTCATTTGCGTTTGACAGAAAGTGTTGCTGTCATTGAAATAAGCTAGTGGATCTTGAAACAGCTGAGACTTTGTATGGTTCATTTGTATGATCTATAAGTGTTTTATAGGTACTATGATTGGTTCTTTCGCTTTCACTGTAGTCATTTATTCTCACTTTTGTGCTAAATATACGTTAAATGATTCTGTTCTTTAGGGTGATTGGCTGAACTCCCAAGTTGTTAGTATATGTCTTAACTAGACTGAATGGAACCTGAAAGGTCTTATTAGATCCTCATCCAACAGATCAGACCTGAAAGTCAAATAAGATATTGAGACTTATCTTACAGATGTATTTAGGATTGCATTTCATTGCTTAATATGTTAATTCTGATATTTTTTATTGGTGACTTTCTACACATTTTGTCTTGTTTAAATTGACAAATGCAAGGTTTCCATGGAGATAACCAGACTAAAAATTTGTTAATAACGGCATACAGATAAACAAATACAGCTGAACTATTGGTTTACTATGCAGACTATTTTGAGAAAACAGATCATTGTGCTATAAGTCAAACAAAATCCAACTTAAATCCACAAACCACTGTTTAACTTACGTTTTATTTATATACACCACTTCCTATGTAATTAGTGAACTGATTTATTATTGTAGAGCGTATCACACTAAACTTTTTTTTATTTTTCAAAACAACTTTTATAGAAATAAGGTAAAATTTCAAAACCTTTGATACAACTAATGTACATATTTGAGAGGTAAAACAATTAACTTGGTAAGCAATTTCTTGTAGGCTTTGGTGAGGTAATTGAGATCTATTTTCAAGTCTATTACATATTTAAAGAAAGTGGTCACATTCTTAAATATACTTATGCTATATCAAACTGTTGTACAAGTTGAACTGAGGATATTTGAAACATTTACTATTCAGGATTGTATTGTATCTAACTAGACTAGCTGAGCAGTAAACAAACACAAAATACAAACTTCAGCCATTTTAATAGGTTTTAAAATTTGAACAAACCTTTTCTTAAATGTAAGGATATGAGAAAAATTTGACCGGTGAAATCAAAATACTTTGATGCAACACAGTAAACTAAACAGCAATTTAGATATGAAATATTGTTATATACATTTTGTGAGTTGTATTATGTACATTATTTGTCTAACCATGCTATGCATCATTCCACACTGTAATAACTGCAATGCATATCACTAAGAAGGCACTGTATCACTGTGTAGTTATCATTGTGTTATTATATTACATTCCAGCATTTCAATCTTAATTGTGTTTACCAAATGATACATGCATACTGATTTCATGCTTTGTACTCTGAATGATTGACATCTGGTCAGGTTTTTATTTAACTCTTCGGTTAATTCAGACAAATATTTTCATAGTGCCCATCTGTATTTTAATTTAATTCATCAGTTCCATCACAGAATGTTTCAGGAACCCTCTTTTTCACCGGTTACTATAGTGACTCAAAAGGTTTTATTTTAAAAAAACTGAAGTTGTCCCATTCAAAGAAAAAACAAAAGAATACAATGAATTTATTACGTGGATTAGGGTCAAATCATTTGTTTGAGTTTAAAGGGAAATTGGCACATCCAAGTTCAATTTTATCAAGTTCCTTTATTTCTTTATATGGTTTAACTGAATTTTTAAAAAAAAATCCTAAGCATTTAGTTATCTGTTAAACAAAAAAAGATCACCATATCGAAAATTGATTTTATTTTCAAGTGAATTTGTAAATGTGATAGTTTCTGTGTTGATTGGGAATGATGTGATAGTTTCTGTGTTGATTGGGAATGAAGTAACTTGAGTAGACAGTGGTGAGGTGCTATTTGTTCTGAGATATGTGATTGTCGGTTTTGTCAAGCAGGTATATTGTATATATTGTCAGACTGTCAGGTATTACAGAATGTTGGTAGTTGACAGATTTATGATAACGTCAGTTGTTGAAGAAGGTAAAGTTGTGCTCAGGGACACAAGTTATAGGAGAAAGATTAATGTTGAAATGTGATGCGATAATTTATCTTTTATATGAAACCATTGTTAAGTAGATGTTTGTCTTTCACTTCGAAATGAAGTAGCTGACAGAAATTGTCAAACATGTAGATAATTTATAAAAAATAAAACTAAAAAATAAATAACAATAAAATCTATTTATGTCTTTGTTTTTCTGTTCAAAGAGCGCAGAACATGAGCTCAGTTGTTCTGTATTGCAGAAACTTTCTCACAATTGTACACAAACGTCTCAGTTGAATATGATAAAAGTTAAATATTATCTGTATGCCAACGCCACCATTTTAGGCAAAAGAACACTGGTTTGGAAAAGGGATCCTTGGACACACTACTCGTAATCTCAGGACTACAGGCAGCCTCGATACTCCAGTGCTTACGCTCACTGTCACTCTGTGTACCCATGGAAAATGTCTTAGCAAAATTGAAGGCACAACGACACCTGTTTGATTGGCCTCAGGTAAGAAAACCTGACCAATCGCTAGGCTGATACCTGTCCTTTGAAGATGACTAAGGAGCGACATTAGACTTTAAAGTCAGTCAATTTTTAGCTCACCTGGTCCCAAGGACCATGGTGAGCTTATGCCATACCGCAGCATCCGTCGTCCGTCCGTCCGTCAACTTTTCCTATAAAACGCTACTAGTCATGAACGACTGAGCAGATTTTAACCAAATTTGGTCAGAAACATCCTTGCGGGAAGGGGAACAAATTTTGTATAAATGGTGGGTCTGGCCCCCCTGGGGGCTGAGAGGTGGGGCCCAGAAGGGTAATATAGCAAATTCTTTAATATCCTTCTTCTTCTGTAGGAATGAAAGGATTTGTTCCATATTTGGTCTGAAGCATCCCTGGGTGAAGAGGAACCATTTTTGTATAAACAGTTGGTCTGGCCCCCCAGGGGCCTGAGGGGCGGGGCCCCATAGGGTAATATAACAAATTCTTTAAAATCCTTCTTCTTCTGTAGGAATGAAAGGATTTGGTCCATAATTGGTCAGAAGCATTCTTGGGTGAAGGGTAACCAATTTTGTATAAACTGTGGGTTTGGCCCCCCCTGGGACCTGAAGGGGGCCAAATAGGGGAAATAGAGGTAAAACCTTTATAATCCTTCTTCTATCATAGGGATTAAGGGATATTATCCTAATTTAGTCTGGAGCTATCTTGGGCAAAAGGGACCTAATTTCGTATAAACAGCAAGGGTGGCCCTCCCTGGGGGCAGAAGGGAGGGGCCCAATAGGGGAAATATAGCAAATTCTTCAATGGCAGGATTTTGTCAAAATTTGGTATGAAGCACCCTTGGGTGAAGGGGAACCAATTTTGTATAAACGGTGTGTCTGACCCCCCTAGAGGTAGAGAGGCAGGGCCCAATAGGGGAAATAGAGGTAAGACTTTTAAAATCTTTCTTCTACCATAGGGATTAGGGGATTGTATCCTTATTTAGTCTGGAGTATCCTTGGGTCAAGGGGACTCAATTTTGTATAAATGGTGGGTATGACCCGCTTAGGGCATAGGGGTGGGGATCTGTTTGAAGTTTGTTCTTGCTATATCTCAAGTACTTGATGGATCTTTCTGAAATTTCATATGTACTTACAGCACCTACCATGGAGTGCTATATCTTTACTTCATACCAATTATTTTAAACATATATTCAGGTGAACGATACAGACCCTCTGGGCTTCTTGTTACCGATTCTTTTGATGTACACCAAAGGATCAAACTATCCTATTTGTCTCATCAAAAGGCAATGCACACCAAGCTTTGACTGTCGGTATTACATATTCCAGGGGTGCGAAATTGAGCGTAAATCCTGGTGTATCGAGGATGGACTATAGAGAACCCTTTGCAATGATATTTTGGATAGTGTAGAGCCCGACACATGCTGGATCGGTTGTTTTTGGTAAAATGGCAAAATATAGTTTAAAAGAGAAACAAAAATACAGTGTAAATCACAAACAGGAAAAATAAATTTACTCGTAAAACTATTAACAATCACTGGATAAGCCCACAATGAACTGTGAAACACATTGAAACGTACAGCTAAAGAACAATAATAAGATAAGGAAGTGGTTGGAGCAAAAAGGAATAATGGATTGAAAGGAACAAAACCAACAAATTGACTAGTACGGAAAAAATATTGAACAACGAACCGACAAAGTCAAAACGAATAATATATTGTTAAGGACAAATGAGGATAGATGGATCGGTAAAGACCACTATTAAGCAATAGAATAAAAAAAGGATGAACTGAATGATGGATTTGAAGGGCCAAAGCGAATGATGATTAATGAATTTGATCATTGAATAATAGAATAAAACAGGTAAACAAGAAAAATGGATTGATAAGGACAAACTATGAACCGTGGATTGATAAAGACCACTGTTAAATAATAGAATAATAATGTGAAAATGGGCAATAGGCTGATAAAGACAAATAATAAACAATGGGCTGATAAAGACAAATAATAAACAATGGGCTAATAAAGACAAAAATTAAACAATGGGCTAATAAAGACAAAAAATAAACAATGGGCTGATAAAGACAAATAATAAACAATGGGCTGATAAAGACAATAATTAACAATGGGCTGATAAAGGCAAACAATAAACAATGGGCTGATAAAGACAAATAATAAACAATGGGCTGATAAAGGCAAACAATAAACAATGGGCTGATAAAGACAAAAAATAAACAATGGGCTGATAAAGACAAAAATTAAACAATGGGCTGATAAAGGCAAACAAAGAGCGATAGAGTTATAAAGACTAATATTGGAAATGAGCAATAATTTGACAAAAATACCAAAGGGTTAAGGTTCAACAAGCCCCTTAAAAGATGACGTAGTCAACTAAAATTCCAACCCCCTGGTAAGTCATGTTCAAAGACCTCAATTACAAATCGGAACTCACGTATGTTATTTGTCTATATATTGAACTTGTACATTGGCCATACAAAAAATATATAGTAGTCAAAAAAACGCATTAAGGCTGATGTTTCAAAAAAATACCTCACTGGACTTATAACATGGCAATCTATTTAATACCTAGGTCATGCGGAGTTTTATTTCTCTTTTACTAGCTGTTGAGAGGAATTCCGACCACAAATAAAGATTGATGTTGCCATGCGAAACCACTAAAATCCTAATAAAAATCTCCTGGTAATACATTTTAGCAAATTTTAAATAAGAAAACAATGACTAAGTAACCTTGATCGATAAATGAACTTTAGATGATGTGCCATTTGATAACATTATATGATTATATGAATGCGCTAGACATGTTATAAACATTGAAGCTGAAAAGTACGATAATGTTTACAACAAGTCTAGCTCTTTTATTACAACATTGTATGTTTAGAAAGGACATTTTAAATGAAGTTAAAGTTGTATTTATGGTCAAAAGTCTATAATTTTACATATATATACCGGTAAAATATGTTACGCGGACGTTTTACTATGATTTTTGTACATTCCCATAGCAACAATCACCTTCTTGTGAGGAGGCCGGTATGCCTCTCCACACATAGTTAAAGATAAATAAAGCCCCGCATGACTTAGGTATATAAATGATCTTCAAATAACATGTCATTTCGTAACATTCAGTTGAGTCGCTTTAGAGATTGACATGTTATAAATCAGGTGAGCAACTTTTATCATTACATCAGCCTTAATGCTGTATTTTTGACTTCGTTGACCTGGTTATATACCTTTTTAATAGCTCATGTACAAGTTCAATATATTTAAATTACATATATATATATTCCGATTTGTGATAAAGGTATTTGAATATGACTTGTCATGAGGTTGAAATTAAGGGTGACTATTACCTCTTTTAGGGGACTTGTTGAACCTTAATATAAACATGAGCAACTAGCCTATAAAGGCAAATAATAAACAATGGGTGGATAAAGACAAATCATGAAGAATGGGTGGATAAAGACAAATAATGAACAATAGGTGGATAAAGACAAATAACGAACAATGAAAGGACACGACCAATAATGTACAATGGATGAATAAAGACATAATGAATAATAGGCGGATAATGACAAATACTGAACAATGGGTGGATAAAGACAAATCATGAAGAATGGGTGGATAAAGACAAATAATGAACAATGGGTGGATAAAGACAAATAACGAACAATGAAGGACAAGACCAATAATGTACAATGGATGAATAAAGACATAATGAATAATAGGCGGATAATGACAAATACTGAACAATGGGTGGATAAAGACAAATAATAAACAATGGATTTATAAAGACACGATGAACAATGGGTGGATTAAGACAAATAATGAACAATAAGTGGATAATGACAAATACTGAACAATGGATGGATAAAGACAAATAATGAATAATAGGCGGACAAAGACAAATCATGAACAATGCGTGGATAAAGACAAATAATGAACAATGGGCAGATACAGATAAATAATGAACAATGGGCGGATAATGACAAATAATGAACAATGAGTGGATAAAGACAAATAATTAACAATGGGTGGATAAAGACAAATAACGAACAATGAATGGATAGGACAAATAATGTACAATGGATGAATAAAGACATATAATGAATAATAGGCGGACAAAGACAAATCATGAACAATTGGTGGATAATGACAAATAATAAACAATGGGCTGATAAAGACAATAATTAACAATGGGCTGATAAAGGCAAACAATAAACAATGGGCTGATAAAGACAAATAATAAACGATGGGATGAAAAAGACAAATAATGAACAATGAGTGGATAAAGACAAATAAAGAACAATGGGTGGATAAAGACAAATAATGGGCAATAGAGTTGTTCAGTCTAAAACAGGACAAAAGAATAATATTGAAAATGAACAATGGATTTACAAGGACAAACAATTGACAATTAATTAATTCAAGAAAGGAGGAATTGACTGATAAGGATAAATATAGATTTGTTGATTGATAAGGACAAATAATGAACACTCTATTGGGAAGGACCAATATTAAACAAAAAATAATAATTTGGAAAATTAGACATGGATTATAAGAAAACAATTGAGCAATCGATTGATATGAACAAAAATGATAAATGGATTAATATGTAACCCCGTCAAATTCAGATGACATTCGTATAGACTCTAAATGCTAATGGCCCTTGTGTTGATTTCATTAATATTTTGACGTTCTAGGTAACGTTAGAATCCGCTGACACTTTATTCCAGATGGTTGATTTATTTATTACCAAACATACACGAAACATACACTAAATATGGCCCCGAATCGGCGTTTGGAGTGCCCAGTATAGTAATCTCTCTATCAACATTTTCGTTCCCGGAATTTATCTCAGAATACTAAAGTTATCTTTTTATATTTTGACAAGGTGATACACTGCGATATGTAAATGTTCAATAGGGATTTGAAAACATTCTAAGATCAATGTCAATGTCGCTGATGTTTTAAATATTCAAAGGGAGTGTACGGTCCTTATCTCGGAAACCGAAAGACTAATCTGTTTAAATTTGGCATGGTGACACACGGTGATATCCATGGAATTTTAAAATGTTCCTAAGGTCAAGGTCACTGTAACAAGAAACAGACCGTGCGAGGTACGGTGAGGCACATGTCAGGCCTCTTGTTTACCTGTTAGTGGTTTAGTTTGAAATAAATGAGGACTTAAAATAATCATACTTTTACTTTTATGATATCAAAATTGAGAAATAGTATGTTTAGTGAACTGTGTTGATATGACATTTACACTCGATATGAATGACACAGCTTTGCAGGCAAATAATGGACAATGGATCGGTGAAGGAAGATATCTACGAACAGTGATAAATGAATAATATATTGATAAGGAGCAGTGGACTTTCTCAATTTTGATAACTTAACAATAAATATAACATTTAGAATATGACATAAAGAACAACGCATTTTTCTGTTTCCATGACATGCTCCACTTTACTCGACAATACATGTGAGCAAGGTTATATCCAGGCACATATATAAGATACCGAGTTTACTTGTCTGTGGATACACAACACATGAATGAACACGAAGTCATTTTTAAAAACTGGTTTTAATTTTTCAGTAAAATATTACTATTTAGTTTATGCTCTTAACAATAGCATGCCATAATTGTTTTATTGCACATATACATCATTGCTATTCATTCATTAATTATTATATTGTTTATATACCAATAAATTGTAGATTTGTTCTGAATTTAATATATCCAAGTTGAATAAAGAAAATCCATTAATTGCAATCCAAGGCGCTTTCCTCCTATAAAAAAACTGCCCAGTCTCTGTAAAACATGTCTACAACCACTATATATCTAAGATCATTGGCACATCTCCGTTACCATATTATAGACGTCGCGTGGAATACTTCCATTCTCACTGCATCTGTGTTTCCATGACTATTTCGTCTCAGTTTCTTGGAACGTTTCCACGACCGCTATAAATGAGTTATATGGAAGGGTTCCATGACCACTGTATCATAGTTCTGTGGAACGTTTCCATGATAACTATATCCAAGTTACATTTCCATTATCACGTTATCTTAGTTGTGCGGGACACTCAAAATTCCATAAGCATTATATATGAATTCTGTTGATCGTTTTCATAGCATCTGTATCTGATTGCCTTGCAACACTTCCAACAAATCATGTTAAATAGATGTGGTAAACACGCTGGTGCTTTTTCAGAGTTTAATACACGTTCTATTTGTGTGATATCCATCCTTATATGGATGCTATTGAAGAAAACGTTAACCTACCTGAGATGGTCGGTTATCACACCTATCAAACTCTCGGTTTTATTATTGTATGTTGTTTGGAAACTATTTGCTAATAATAATTTTAAAAAAATACATACGAATTTAATGAAGCAACCATTATCTACTGGTCTTATCTGATATGGCTTTAAAATTATCCGGACTGGAAGCAGTGAAAACTTAGAAGACTTTATTGTCAAATCTACACGGATATGTAAGACACTACCTCCACAACCATCGTATTTATTGAACTCAAAAAAGTCACTTCAAAGCTACTTTGTAAGATTTGCCACAGACATCCACTTGGAATGACTTGGAGCTTAGTTTATCTTTGGCCAGCGACACAGTTCCCATACACAACACTGTGTTCTTGGTAAAGTCGAAACCCGTGGAGGATACGGAACCTGCTACCCTGCCATCACAGTAGATCGGCTCCCCTCCCCAAACCCAAGAGTCCTCTTCAACACAGAAGTCTTCCAACTCCAGACATACTATAGTGGCATCTGTCTTGTTGCTTGCTGCTATTAGTGCTTCCTTTCCGATAAAGGATGTCTTCTGAAATTCAATTGAAACCCCAGGTAATTTGCCTCACCACATATTTAAATATAGAATTCAAAAAATAATCGTTCCTGCGAAGACGTTTAAGAAAATCTCGCAAGATACACTTTGATAATATAATATTGACAAATAGGAAGAAATACAAACAGTGACTGAAAGTGACTAAAGAGCTTAAAATGAGAAGATTTGATTAATTTAAACAAAAAATAAATACTAGTACCGTATTCAACAATGCAGTAAGATAGAAACAAATATACAAGGCATAATTCATGTTATTGCAATGGAGAAAATCACATAATGAATACTCAAACTGGAAAGTGGATAGAAATAGTGGAACTAAGCAGACGTACAAATTAAGTATCAAAAATGAAACTTCTACTGTATCTCAGAAGTAGATTATATTTTGTGGGTAAAACATGAACGAAAAATCATAACAAACCATGAAACAATCCCGAAGCATATTCACCTGAAAATCGACCATGTCCGCCATGCCGGTCACCATTGGTGTGGTGCCGGACGTAAAGTCTTTCAGCCACTGGGGGTAGACATTCTCGGTCTGCAATAACCTTAGTGTATGGTGGCCAGCGTTCCTGATGCCATATTTCTCTCCCACGTTCATCAACGTGTCATAAACGTCTACTGCTCCCTGTTATATTTAAAACAGGGCATTTGAATAATTATTTTATCCTATCAGTTTTAGAAGAAAAATATTAACCTCCTGTATTTTATCACATAATTTTAACACTAGGAGACGATAAATAAACCATTATGGATCTGTTTTCCCCATTGCAATACTTTAGCGTTTTTCTTTTTATGACGCAACTCTAATACTATCCTTTCCATGTTGTTTATCTTTACTCTTGCTTTATATAACTCTTTTTATGACCCAACTCTAATACTATCCTTTCCATGTTGTTTATCTTTACTCTTGCTTTATATAACTCTTTTTATGACCCAACTCTAATACCATCCTTTCCGTGTTGTTTATCTTACTTGCATCCTATGATCTATTGTATATTAAAATCTGGGAATTTTGTTTGATTGAGTGATTGTACTGCGCACATTTCCACTAACTTTACGCGCACTAAATCAGGGTGAAGCTATACACAAGTGAATATATAATAACATTATATATATTTCAGCAACGTTAAAGGCGCGAAAATATTCACATACAACTCCATCCTACATGTATAACAACCAATCACATGATGGCTTCTTAAAAAATCATTGAAATAGCGTTGTTGCTGATAGAGCGATACAGATTCCACAACCCAGATATGGCATTCAATGTTAATATTATCTAACGTAATTGCCAAAAGAAACATTTTAGGCGTTCGCAGTTAACTCTTCATTTCTTCATAATTTACTCACCTGTGATGGGACAAGGAGAGTGGTTCCAACCATCCCGGCTAGATTCTGTTTTAGTACTGCAATATCCTTGGTCTGTCCGATGTTGACCATCTGAAATATTGAATGTTTTAAAAGAAATCAAAGATTGAAAAAGTACATGGTATACTTAATCATACTAGCAATTAAGGCAGTGCATGTGAGATTTGTTTTATATATTTTTATTATAAATTTAAATAGCATTTTCTGAGAAAAAAACCCCACGTTCATTCATTAAAATGTATTTTGTATATTGTTTTCTAAATAACTTTCTTATACCGTTTAAAATCTAAGAAACTTTTGACAAGTAGGAAGCGTATTTCGGGACTATCTCACTTTCGATATTATTATTTCATTTCAACAGATTTTATTGACATGGTGTTATGGTCAAATGGATCGAATAACAGGCAAGCCTATATAAATTCTTTCCATAGGTGACAAGAGAATTGCAAGAATATTATAGAACTATAGCTAAACATATTTTATAGATATTTTGAAATGAAATTACATAAATGTAAACGATAATGTAATTAAAGGGAGGTAACTCACTTTTGATTACTTACAATACAACATAGGACATACACACACCGGCAAAGACACACACACACAAACATGTATCATAATTACACGTGTACATATGAGTTACTATTTAACATTCGATACAGTTAGGTAGATATAACAAAAGTCTATGTGCAAGTACTGCACAGGTCATCACCACCTAAAATGTGCATTAATTTATTTATATGTAACTATTTAATCTACATAATTAACCCGATATGTACATTTATCAAAAGTATAAGTTAAACATTGTGTAGAGGAGCACAAAATAAATAAATGAAAATATGTATTTATTACATAATCAAATAAATTCACAACCATGTTCAACTGTTTTCATAGAAAATTACAGTTTTTGTCAATATAATGGCTTTCTAGATCTTGTAAAAGTTAAAACGTTTAGATTTCCCTATAAAATAATGTATATCACGAAGCATAAGTCTGTTTGTATTACCTTCACAATTAGGACAGCCATGTAAAATAATGTCAATACCGATATGCTAATGCTCAAATGCATAATTAATGAGTGAGTTGAACAAATTAATCCGCAAATCATAGTAAATAGGACATTCTAGAAAAAAATGAGAGACTGTTTCCAATTCATCTGAACAAGTACATACTGGACTTTCAGTTAGGTTGGCATGATGCAAATCAAACTTTAAGTCACTACAATAATTTCTGAGTTAGGAAAGAATAATGTTTGCCCTTCTATCACCTTCAGTTTTGAAAATTTGAACAGATTTACCATCAGTTATAGTATTTTTATCTAACAGCCATTTAAAAGATTAGTATCGGTGTTGTTAGCTGTGAGGCACATGGAAGGAAAAAAGCTGTCAAAGTAGTTATTAGTTCTGCATATTGGTGGGTTAAAAGTCTAGTTTGTCGGAGAGAATAATGATTTTCATTAGGATTGTTTGTAAAGGGGATCAACACATCTAATTATTGCGGTGAGAGTCCATGCATTAATTTATACATCATGATATATTTGTGTTTCTCTCTTCTGGCAGCCAGAGTTTCCCAACCAAGTTCGGTATAACGTTTATTTTGTGATGTTCCTGAGCGAAGGCCTGTTATAATTCTAGCTGCTTCTAATTTTATAGATTCTAGAAGATCTGTTGATTATTGTGTGCAGTTATCCCAAACTATGTCAGCAAATTCCAAAATTGGTTTAATAAATGCAGTATGAATTATAATTAATGGTTTTCGATTTACTTTAGCTTTTATGTAACGAAGAATGTTGTAAGCTTTTTCAAATATGTTCTGAATATGTTGTTTCCATGATGCATCATCTTTAAGGGTAAGTCCTAAGTGTGTATGTGATGTAGTGTCTGTAATTTGGCTGTTTTAAAAAGTTAAAGTGGATTGATTTGTGTTATGTTTCCTTGAAAATATAACTGATTTAGTTTTATTAGGGTTAAATTTTATATCCCATGTGTTTGCCCATTCATTCATGGTAGTAAGGTCAGTTGTTAGTGCTTGTGCTGCTTGAGCTGGGTCTTCTTCTATAATTACATAAAGGGAGGTGTCGTCTGCAAAAAGCTTGATATTAGTAGAAACATTTTCGGTGATATCATAGATGAAAAGAAGAGAGAGAAGTGGGCCAAGGACAGATCCTTGAGGTACCCCTGCATTAATAACCTTGAATTGAAAAAGATAACACTCAGTACTAACTCTTTGCATTCTGTCTGAAAGATAATTTTGGAACCAGATAAGTAAAATTCCAGCAAAACCATAGTATTTTAGTTTATGTAGAAGACCTTGGTGCCACACACGGTCAAAAGCTTTATTGATGTCACAAAATATAAACCTAAACTCCTTTCCCTGGTCCATATTACTAACAATTTCATTATATATTAACAATAATTGATTTACTGTAGAATACCTACTGTAAATCCTGACTGATGCTTAGTTATAATAGAATTTTCAACTAGGTAATTATAAAGATATTTGAACATATTTTTTTCCATCAATTTACTAAGACCAGAAATTATTGAGATAGGTCTATAGTTTGAAACATCATTGGTTGAACCATTTCCTTTATAAATAACATTAATGTTTGCTTGTTTCCAAATATTTGGTAAAGTCCCTGATTCTAAAGATTTACTAAATAATAGTGTGAGGGGTAATCTCAGAGAGGAACTTAGCTTTTTAACAATTTTACGGATAACACCATCAGGACCTGGTGGTTTATTAACATTAAGACTATTAATTAGGTCAGAGACATCTTTTTGAATCACATGGATATTTGTTAGTGAAAAGGGGGTGAAATGTTGTGCTGTTTGAGGGAGTTCAAGGTCAGGTGATGATGTAGAGATATTAGTAAAGTGACTGTTTAGGATTTCAGCTTTATCAATTGGATGGTGAATGACCAGATTGTTAGATTCAAGAGGGGGGATAGAGGAGGATTTGTTAGAAAAGTTAGTGATAGATTTTGCTATCTTCCACCATTTATCTGGAGGGACCATACTATCATTTAGTGAATTTTCAAGGTTTGTTTATGTAATTTGCCTTTGCTTCTCGAATCAGGTCAATAGTTTCATTTCTAAGAATACGAAATCGGTGCCATTAATGAGGATTATTATTTATTTTAGCCTTTTTGCGTATTCTGCTTCTCATCTTAAGTCTAATGGTGTTGTTCATCCATGGTTTATCATTTGGGCGGACTGTTATCACTTTGTGGGAATACATTTTTTGACATGTTCCGTTAAACAATTAATTATATAGAAGCATTAAATAGCTCAGTGTCCTGATTCAATGATAAATTGAACCAATCAACATTAAAAAGAGCTTTATTCATACTTTCAAAATCAGCTTCATCATATTTCAGAATGGCCTTTTTATAGCTCACTTGTTTAACTATGTTAACAGAAAGTTGGGCATGAACTGATAAGTGGTCACTACAGAATGGTGGTGATACATAGGCACTTTTAATTATGTTTCTGTTATTAGAAAATATAATATCAATGAATGTGACACTGTCAGGTGTTATTCGTGTAGGTTCATTAATAAAACTAGACAGATTATGTTTGATAAGGAGTCTTGATAAGTGATAATTTAATGGTAAGTTTAACATATCAACATCCATAGAAGTATCAGCAGCTCTAGTTAATGTATCATCAAGTTTGTTGCAGTAGTCAATGTTACTGTCTCGTCTATACAAACAACCAAGATGAGGAGTATGAGTAAAGGAGTGTATTTGAATGTCAGTGTTGCTTATCAATGGATTGAAATGTGATTCAGTCAGGCATACTTTATCGTTACTTTCAAGTTCAGTTTCAATTCAGGAAGTTTTGTTTCTAAGGGATCGAACATTAAGGTGAACCATATTAAGATTGTGTAACGGTCCAGGATTACTTTCAACATTAAAACAGAGGCATAGAATAATAAACTGTGTAACTAAAAAGAATGATAAGTTATACTATTAATAGTGTAATGTATATCTTTTTACTACATTGCACATTATTACTGTAGATTTATGCACTTTATTGTTACTGTTAAGTATGTACTTATATACTATATTGCGACTAACGTACATTATCATTTAACTTTGAATTTCCTGTATAATTTATCGCAAACAAAATCATTAGAAGTATACTTAAAACGTATTTTTGATGTCTTGATACTGAGCAATTACTTATGAAAACGTTAATATTGTTGAAGATTGTCATTTTTGTAAAACGCGAATGGAAGACACAAATTACCTGTGAATTAGATTGGAGACTAATTGATGTCATATCATCAGTGACTTCTGATAACATTTTAAGGACGTTTTCGCCAATAAGATGTAACGCAGCATATGTGCCGCTGACGTCGGTCACCTGTACAGCTTTGGGAATATGCCGTCGTACCCATGTGAGACATCGAGCCTTTTGAGGTGAGGGACATAGCAAAATAAAACTGGAAAAAATCGTAAACTGTACTGGTTTATTTCTTTTTCATTAAACATCCGTTTTGAAGTTTAAATAAATATGTGACAACAGATGCTATTGACGTCAAAATTACTGTTATAATTTATTTAAACTACATGATGATTATTTTTATTGCTTTATGAAAGTTTATCTTATTCTCATTTTCAAAAATTCTTCTAGCTTCATTTTTTCAAAAGAAAACAAATTCATATTACGGTACAAATATTAATTAATAAACTTTTACCTCTTTTTATTAAATTATACAATTCCATTGTTTCAATTTCTTAAAGGATAAAATTGTCAAATAGACAATGGTGTATATAACCGATAGTTATAGAAATAACTTCACCTGTTACTTTTTGTTGTGACAATATCACAAACGAGTTCAAAGCCACCGCGAGGATTGAGCATGCCTGTTCGAGTGACTTCCCCTTCCTTGCCAGATATGTAGCTATATACGAGAGTCTGTAGAGCATCTAATGCCTCGGAACCTGCAGACTTCAAGTAAGAATCACAATTAACAACTGGTTCAGTAGTAGAATTTTAAATATAATACTATGTACATACTATTATGACTAAACAATCAAATATCTCAATTCGCACTTTACAGTGTCCATGTGTATGTCAAATGAATCTCTCTACATTGATAGCTGTCAAACTGAACAAACAGGTGTACATTTTTAAACAAAATTTAAACAGTATGATACTACAGCATTTTGTTATTTTTTAATCATTAATTCATTTTTCAGATATTGCTTTTACGACAAATGTTCTTATATTATTCCACAATAAAGAAAACTCATTTATTTCCTTTTTTCACACGCAAGTGGTAATGAGGACTGAATGTATGGATGGTAAATATTAACGACACAGAATAATGTCTGCAAGGCAATCCTAATCATGACATCGATTTTACTTATTAAAATTAAAGGGAAATTATCACATGCATACTGTGTTAACATGAATACCTTGATTTCAATTTGTGTAAAGCACGAAACGTCGAACATCCCCACGTGGTTCTTGCATGCCAAGTACTCAGCCCTTACCGGCTCTAGCCAAGAGGGTTTCCCGAACGTGCCCTTGGCTGTATTGTATGGAGCTAGAATAAATTATGATACAAATCAGCGCAACATGTATAACTGGGTTTCAATATGACAAACACACTTTATCTCAAGCTGAGCTGAAATTCGTATAAAATTATAAAATGGCAAAATATAAATAAAGCTCAATCAGCTTGAAAAAAAATGTGTTGTTGGCCTTTGTATAAACTTTACATTAAATTAAGTCCAATTGCATTATTTAATGGAAATTGAGTTTATATAATGCGGAAACTGTTCCTTATAAAAATTTCAGTTCGTATTTGCATTATAGTATACTGCAAAACTGGATGGTTTTAACGTTTTGTTTATCAATTTATTCACGTCATGAACATTTTCACAGTGACAACGCTGCTACAATAAATATTGAATAGTCTGTACGTCTGTATTTTGGCAAAGCCGTTTTTTATTTCTCATATTCTGTTAAGAAAGCTTTAAAGTTTGAAGCATTCTTAAATTTTAACACAATGAACGGTTACCTTGGTTGTCCGAAAACCACAAAGGCTTTTCATAGGCACTCTCTTCTCCAAAGCATGCCCCATTTGCCATGAGTTTAGAATGAAGAGGAGAAACCAGAAGTTCCCTGGCGGTCTTGTACTGGTCGTCTGGATATTTCAGTTTGTACCGACCTACATAGCAAATAACATACCGAAATAGTGAACATGAAGAATTGTCAATGGGCAGAAAGATGACTTTTAACTGTTTCTCTCAGTAGCATTTATTATGGAAGACGAAAATCTAGAAAATTGGTTGATAATGGCGTTATCTTTGAGGCACACTTTGATCAGTGTTCATACAATCAGACATTGCGGACAATTAATTTAAGATTTTTCAGATTCTTTATTCCTTGTGTTTTAAAACTCATCGGAGAGAAGACATAACGTACACAGTATTTTTTAAAACAATAAAATGACATACGGTATGATTGTACAGCATCTTGCTTCTCTCTTTGCTATGTCAGTATTCTTATTTCATAACTATGTTCCATAAAATGATTCATTACTTCTTTGTCATTGATTATAAAAGGCCGAAGAAAGTACATTATTGTAACAAACAATATCGACAGCATACCTATGACTTCTGCACATCTGTTGGCAAGATAGTGTATATCGCCCTGTTGTTGCGCGTGTCTCTTTACGTCAACGGAGGACAGGTTGACGGAGGTCGGCTCCCCAGAGATGAGCTCAGCCATATGTCGGCCAAGTCCTCCCGACCCCGCTATACCATTTGATCCCATACCCGTAGCCACAAAATAGTTCTTCACCTATAAGATCATGTAGTACATATAAGAGATATCTGGTTAATCCCACACCCTATTGTACAAGAAATGAGAATAAAGCATTGAATATATTTTGCTAGATTACTCAGCTCTATCAGACTTATCTATATCTGGTAACTTATTTCTGATGTTAATACCAAATAATATGCCATGTCGTCAACACAAGGGCAATATTCACTTAGTCGATACGGTTGGACAAAAGGAACTACATAAATTATAACTGGATAGCGAAACAAGGGGAGAGCCATCACGAACTCCTCGCTTAAAAAGCTCAAGGGAAATCTAGACTCTGTGGAAGGCTGGGCGTTTCCTGTACCACATGTGGCGCCAAAGTGATGTGCCGCCGTCAAGTCCAGGACAATATATAGGTCACTTGTCACTTAGACACTGTGAGCACGTCTTTATTCGTGGAATGAAATATAATATAGAACTTGGAACTTAGTGTACATTTGCAGCTCCCAGGATGGAATCCCTGGTTTAGTAGGTTGTTGACTATTTTCTATTTCGAAATTTATTTTCTTTGTGAGTGATAAGAAGGATAACTGTACACTGTTTATTTGTTCTGTTTCATTATAAACCCAGTAGTGTACTTGATTCAGAGGAGCATTTATTTCATAAATTGCCATTTCCACTAGGGAGAGATGTGTTACTATTTAATTAGATAGTTAAAATGTTCCCGAATATTTCCGCATTTACCTCTTTATTTGCTATGATTATCTGGCATCAAAATTTATTGTTATAATTTATGGTAACGAAACATTACATTGTATTGAATAATATTTCTACATAACATTGATAGGCATATTAGAGATAAAGCACCTCGGCAGATTCTCCCACATTCCACATATTGTCTGGAGTAAAGGACTCCGGCCCGTTCACGAACTGTCTGATCTGTGTCGTCTCCAGTATCGGGAATCTGTTCAGTATCCCATCCATCAGAACCTCTGGAAGTACGGAACCGGAACAGTGTAACATCCAACGTCAAACCATCATAAATAACAGAAAATGGAAATACAATTCGACAATAAAAGACAACGTGATTTTTGTTATGATACACTGATTGATAAACATACGGAAGTGGTCCCAATCTTCGGACAGTAGTTGGAATTCAAACTTGTCTGGCACCGCCTCCCCGAACACGGGCTTTCCTTTAGGTTCGAACCCTCCGGTCATTATTCCGCCGCTCCACTCACGTGCGTATATCAAGCCATCGTAGTCTCTCACAACTGTCATGATGTCACAATCAATATAAAAGGAACTATTAGCAGGGGTATGTTGTGTACATTTTGTAATTTATCTATACGTAACTATTTTTTTTAAACTGAAATTACAAACTGGAGTTATCGATGAAAATCCTTGCTCCTTTCCATTGACGAATTGGATTCTTTGATGTAACCTGACGACCAATAGAACGATATTATAGCTATCAAATACTGATTTTACTATAGTGACAACAGACAGCATACTCGTTTGAATTAGAGACTTCAAGATGTTGATAAATTCGTCATTTTTTGGTTCAAAGTCGCGATAAATCACGTATAATAACTTACCTGGCATCATCCGGTCGAGGCCTTCGATGGGCTGACTCACAATGTAGAAATGTTCAAGAGGATGCTGGGGTATGTTTACTGGTGGGTCAGATAGTCGTCCGAGATTTCTACCCCACTGTAACAGTAATCAAATTATATATTAGAAGGGGACTATGATTTGTTTTGGTTTGTAATTCTCAAAACTGTCTGATGAAATCGAATGTGATTGGTTTAGTTTAATTGTTTATAAATTGGTTGAAAGTGTAACTACGTCCAACAGTACATCACAGAATTGTACATCCTCGATATCCAGGGGTTACGCTCACTTTCGCTCTTTGCACCCCTGGAATATGTCATAGCAAATTTGAAGGCTCAGTGTGTGCAACCTTGTTGATGAGACAAGGAGACTAGTTCCATCCTTTGATTTAAATCAAAAGAATCTTGCGGTCACGTAACGGTAAAAATGACAGGCTTTGAAGTCGGGCGTCTCTCCTTTGTAATCTTCAAAGGCAAGGTATCAGCCTAGCGATTGTCCGATTTTTTTACCTGAGACCAATCAAACAGCTATCTTTGCGCATTCAATTTTGCCATGACATATTCCAGGGGTGCAGGTGAGAGTAACCCATGGATATCGAGGATGGAAATTGTATGTCCAGCTTACTTGTCCAGAGCAGTTTACGAAGTATTCACAGCTGATGTGACCGTGTGAAGTCTGGACTCCGGATACCTGGCCATCAGATGTGTTAATTCTGTTCACTTTGACGCCCTCGATGATCTGTACACCTGAAATAAACATTGTACTGCTATTGATGGTACGTTTTACTGTGTTATATCGGTCATGAGGAAGCCTTAATTTAAAGCTGAGTTTATGTTATAGGTGTGTCGTACGAACTACTGTTTCTACTGTATTAACGTGAATTCTGGATTCGATCTGTAATGTAAATACTGTACAAAAAGCCAGGGCACGTATACCAGGATATATGAATGCCATTTGATTGGCCTACCAGATATATTAAAACATCTGCCTGACGACACTGCTAATTCTATACTTTAGAGAGAAAATCAACGTTTCTTGATATTCTTCTCCTCGGAAAGTGTTCTATGAGAGAAAAGGATAATTCTTGATGTTTTAATAGACTTGTTAATAGAGTCCATGAAAGGGCATTATGCCACTACCTTTTGCCTTTGCTGCCTTGGCGTACGTGATAGCTAGGTCTGGCGCGGTCAGAGCTCCATCTCCGGGGATCCACAATCCGCCCTACAGTTACACAATACAACAAATACATTTTGTAAAATAGGTAACTGATGTCACTGTTATCATACACATTACATAACATTATCTTGTTTGCATTACATGATGTCTGTATAAAGTGCAATCTTCAAAGCCTGTATTTATTGTCTGGAAAGGAACTTGGCTCACCCTATATTAAATAAACAGATCTTTATGGAAATTTATTTGTACAGAGTTTGAGTCATCATGGAATTGCACACTTGAATACATAATTATACAATACAATTTAAGATATCCCGATATCTATCCGCCCATCTGTCCCTTTGCGAATTTTGTTGAAAGCCCCTCGAAGGTTTCATGTTCACAACATGATTCGTAGTTACCATTACTTTAGTTTATTTAAAAAAAGTCACGCAATACAAAATAATTTATAAAGTATCATAATGTGTGCTAGAGACATATACTATAGTACCAGGCAGGGTAGCGTTATAGCGTATGTGAAAAAATCCATATCGTAAACAATGGGATTATGGAACTATACCGAAAATGTACAATATCGCGAATGATATTGTCTCGAACTGGTGTACCAGATAAATATGGCTACATTCTTTGCATGACGTAAACGTTATGATGAAAATTCACAACATCGCGTACAGTATGGTAAACAACATTACCTCGGACTGGTGTACTAGATAAACATGACTACTTTCCCTATATAGACGCATGGCGTAAACGTTTAATTATGTGAGAGCATATAGAAAAGTAAACATGAGGAGTAAACATGTTTTTGATAATGAAAACGATAATCTTTACTTTACCCACTGTACATTGTTAACAAGAATAAGAAGCTCTGAACAGGTTTGATAACGTAGAGACCAAATGTTGTTTTTATGTTGGAGGGAAACCTACGGGGGAAAACCACTATGCTGTTGGATTGATAACAACTAACCCCATCAGCCCTCATTCCCTTTTTTCAAAGCTGGGGTTCACACCGAATTTGTTTGGGCTGTGAGTCGCCTGCTGCTCACGCTTGATTTCACACAGTGGCGCAATATCGACGACGGCTACTAAGGCACTCAGCGCCAGGCACTGAAATGCCCTAGTCACGATCTTTACTGTATAGATTGAAGCATACCTGGTAGGACACCCAGACTACGTAGTATATCGGTAAGCAGGAAATATATACTGTATTTTGAAAATTCTGATGGATATAACAGGCCCTGCATTAGCAAATAAATCATGACACGTAATGCTATTTAGGAAGGATCATTTAGCAATATTGGGCATTTTGACTGCAAATGGCAAACATATAGCTTTATATAAAATCCGATTACACTATACATTTATTGACCTCTGATGAGGTGGTAATTTAAAATAATATGTGGGTTTATGACGCAAAGAAAATGCATCGACACAAAACGAAAAATGTTAGCATTTACCTCAATATCATCTGTTCTGATCCATTTACATAGATTATGTATGTCGGCTTTAGTCACCAGCGTTGCTTCTACGCCAGCAGCTCTAAAACACAAAGTAAAGATAATTGATTCAAAACATGTTGCCCGAAGAGAGCCCAAGCAAGGAGGCCCCACTGATATATAACATCTATTGTAAAACAAGCTAATTTGTTGTATTCATAGTATAGAAAACAAACAGTTTTCATGAATTTTGAGATTTAGAGATGCGCAAATGTACAATTGAGCGAATAAGTAGTGAGAGAACTTTGCATTGAATTTTGATAGAGATAATAAAAACATATTTTCATTTAAATCGTGTTTAATGCAATATAAGTAATATATTATAACCTAATTGAGCTCGTGAATACACCAGATATATGTTGAATATGACATGTAATACTTGGCTATGGATTGGCTACGTCGTAGAAGTGTCATTCTGTCTGGGGTCTGAGCAACAGTGATACTTCCACATTCCTTTAATCCTAGTAATAAAAGAGTGTTTTATACTTATCTTATGACTGTGTATCAATGTTTCAACTGTTTTGACGGAACATTTCTTCTCCATTTAATTTTGAGGCACTGAGGTAGTATTTGTTCTATTTTATTTTCTAAAGGAATGTTAATAAATCTAAGATACGACAATAACTATCATGAAAAAATCTGAATTCTTTAAAATTCTTCCTATGTAATTACAATATTAGATAAATACTTCATTGAAATAACATCATTGTTGAATTTATTTTTGTTCTTGTTAAGGAAAGACTTGTCATTTGTTTTTGCATACTGCTTTTTGTCGGTATCGTAGTTGAAATGGTTTAGTCTAGTTTAAAAATTTACAAAGTATGATGTGCTATATATTTAAAGTATTTAAATTTTTGCTCAGCATTCCTCAGGAGAAAAACTAGATATATACACCCCACACATTTTAACGACTTCCTCTTTTTTATTGAGGATGGCGGACGTATTACATACCAACGCCATATTCCTTTTCCAGCTTTTTGTAAAGTTGTTTGCTGTACCCCATCAGCTTGGTAGTCGACAGGGTGTCTCGGACCTGACCTATCAATCCCACGGCGTGCCACGTCGTCCCGCATGTTAACCTAGAGTCAGAGTAGACATTTACATTCATTTAAATATTTCTATGATAAACGTGCATTTTGCAATGCAATAAATATAATTTAAACATATATTAAAAAATGAAAAGATGCATAAACATATAAATAAGCTGTTATACACTTCAATAATAAACATATATGATTGCGATATGTTAAATGCATACAGAAATAATATTGGTTTTAGTTTGGTTGTATTTTATTTGACGTCCTGTTAACAGTTAAGGTTATTAAAGGACGTGTCTTCCTGTGTGTAATGTCATGTTAACAGTTAAGGTCATCAAAGGACGTGTCTCCATGTGTGTAATGTCCTGTTAACAGTTAAGGTCATTAAAGGACGTGTCTCCCTGTGTGTAATGTCCTGTTAACAGTTAAGGTCATTAAAGAGGTGTCTCCCTGTGTGTAATGTCCTGTTAACAGTTAAGGTCATTAAAGGAAGTGTCTCCCTGTGTGTAATGTCCTGTTAACAGGTAAGGTCATTAAAGGACGTGTCTCCATGGGTGTAATGTCCTGTTAACAGTTAAGGTCATTAAAGGACGTGTCTCCATGTGTGTAATGTCCTGTTAACAGTTAAGGTCATTAAAGGGCGTGTCTCCCTTTGTGTAATGTCCTGTTAACAGTGAACGTCATTAAAGGACGTGTCTCCCTGTGTGTAATGTCATGTTAACAGTTAAGGTCATCAAAGGACGTGTCTCCCTGTGTGTAATGTCCTGTTAACAGTTAAGGTAATTAAAGGACGTGTCTCCCTGTGTGTAATGTCCTGTTAACAGTGAACGTCATTAAAGTACGTGTCTCCCTGTGTGTAATGTCCTGTTAACAGTTAAGGTAATTAAAGTTCGTGTCTTCCTGTGTGTAATGTCCTGTTAACAGTTAAGGTCATTAAAGGGCGTGTCTCCCTTTGTGTAATGTCCTGTTAACAGTTAAGGTAATTAAAGGACGTGTCTCCCTGTGTGTAATGTCATGTTAACAGTTAAGGTCATCAAAGGACGTGTCTCCCTGTGTGTAATGTCCTGTTAACAGTTAAGGTAATTAAAGGACGTGTCTCCCTGTGTGTAATGTCCTGTTAACAGTGAACGTCATTAAAGTACGTGTCTCCCTGTGTGTAATGTCCTGTTAACAGTTAAGGTAATTAAAGTTCGTGTCTTCCTGTGTGTAATGTCCTGTTAACAGTGAACGTCATTAAAGTACGTGTCTCCCTGTGTGTAATGTCTTGTTAACAGTTAAGGTCATTGAAGGACGTGTCTCCCTTTGTGTAATGTATGCGTGCATGTGTGTATTTGGTGCAGCTGATTTTGTTTTGGTTACATTTGTGTCCCAAAGTAGAAAGGATATTCTCAATTCTGTAGGGGTCCCAACATCAGTTACAATTCATATTATGCAGCAAGTGTGCTCTTTTCTCGATCCCTGACCTGCACGTGTGATAGTAACACTGTCATATATAACGTAAACTAAAACATTGCTTTACTTTACACTTTAACCTCTTATGGATTTACAGTACCTCAAGACATTATACCATCCTCCCAAGAGAGTTCTACACTCAGAAACATTTTAAAAAAAGGTTGATTTGAACGCCTTTTCTTAAAAATTCAGGGGAGATAACTTAACAAATAATTTGATGTTAACGATAGAGAATGTCCTTCAACTGAATGCGATAACGCATGGACAGATATACGGAACTAAGATAAAACTCGGGTGAAAATCTGCTGAATGAAGGTCGACGTCATGTTTATTTAGGATTTTGTGTTATCATGTAGATATGGACAAGCCCAGGTCAGTACCAGAGATACACTAATCTATTAATATACCGTATTTATATATGTCATGGCAGGTCTATCAAGCTGCTATTTTCCATTTGGACCCGATACACTGATACATAAGTTTGTGTCATATCGTAGTTTTATTTCGATTTTATACTAACAAGTAGCCTCGTGACTTTTTGAACGATATTCAGTAACAAATGTAAAGATATACATAAACATAACAGCAGCCTTTGTGTCTACAAACACTTTCAGTAAACTATTCACACATTTATAAGTAATACAAGCATTACTCAGTTTGATGTTTATCTCGTAACATCCTCAGCCAGTCTGATAACGACATTAGACAGTTTTCCCTGTCTAATTGGTTTTTCAAATATTTTGTTCCGACACTCCATGCTCAGGTGATCATACGTATTTGTTCTACTCCTCTTAAAATCAGCACTTTTGGTCAGATGATACAAACCTGCCCTGCTCTAATACAACCAGTTCAGTTCCTCTTGGCTGCTTGATGCATACATGACTGGTTCCTGTCCTTTTCCAGGCTCTCTAATCCTGAAAACTACTGTCTTGTTCAAGGTCTCTACCAAAATAAACATACCTGCCCTGTTCTAGCAACGTGACATCGGTCCAGCCCCTCTCTGCAAGGTGATAAGCTACGGAGGCACCGACGATTCCTCCACCACCGATGACGACCCGGGCATTAGCTGGTACATCAGGAGACCCATCACTGACAGCATTGTATATACTTCCTTTACAGAAATGTCTTGGGTGTAAGCTTCTTTTCAATACTCTATGTTGGATTAATTGTCGGCCTGTTATAAGCCTATACATGGTCAGTATTATGACGGGTCGAGTGAATGTTTTTTTCTGCTCCCTGGTTTCGTTTTGGACCTTTAAAGTAGAACTAAGCGAGAAACAAGTTCAATGAAATACTGTTTACATTATACACGGCCTCGAATAAACATTACATTTGAACAGTTGGTGTTACGACAGATAAGACAAACACGACACACGGCCTAAACGTTTAAGTCATACCTTGAGGGACACCAGTGACAGCTAAATTTTCTCTGAGCAATTTTAGATATCACCTATGTAGTATACCAGTATTGGACGTGTCTTTTTCTATGTACAGTCTTTATAAATACGCAGTGAACCTGCCACTGTCCGCTGTGGTAAAGCTATTACAGGTAGCTTTATGTGTTGGAATTGTTATTCAGTACACAAGTACATGAGCGAAAAAAAATGATATACAATGGAAAACAAACCGTGTTGTGTTCATGGTTGTTGCTGATCCTAACATTTTGTTGATAGCGTACTGTATACCACGCAGAGGCTTAATAACCATATACAATAGGATATCAGGTGATGTAAAAGTTTTGAACTTCATGCATAATTTCGACATGTGTCTTACAATTAATTGTAAACAAAGCTAGGAACTTCAATTTCATATTCAGATATATGTATGTGCTGCCTAGAAATAACAAGAAATGTATTGATAACGTCGATCGTTTATACAACCCTGAGCTCGAAATCGAGAACACTGTTCTTTTTTAGCGGAATTCCTCGAACCTTACTTACAACATGCTAACAAGGACGAACAAGGATAACTATTAAACTGTACCATTATCATTTCGAATTTTATATTGTGAACTTTCCTTTTCTTGATAGCAGCATCCTCCGAATATGACATATGTCGCCATAGAATCGGTATTCGAGTGTTTTCTCTTAATGTTATAATTTTCGTGATAGAAGTGGATTGGTTAACTGACCAACACAGCCATTCTAAATATGCAGGTTGATAACGTATATGGACAATTTTTAATGCCGCCCTCGTGATCTTGTTGGGAAATAGGATATTTCTTTGTGATAAATGAAGGTCGATGTTTTGCATAACGCTATTGAATCTGGCTTGATGTTTTGTTGTCACTCCCCAGGTTCTCCCTCTGAGGACGTGACATTACTTTGATTTGACCTACATTTACTTGTCAGATATCGTCGATGAGCTGATGACACTTACCCTTACGGAAACCCTGGTGTAATTTACCTTTTACTTTTTTAATGATATCCATGTAAATATTTTCTTTGTTTATATTTTTCGTTATTTTTTTAATTTTTAGTTCGAATAACGGATTTTTTGACACTTCGTTTATCCATTGTTGTTTTATAACAGAAGTATTATTATTGAATCAATGTACAATCAGCACTGTATTAGGCCTGAGTCTGGATTTATAAGGATATATAAATACAAGATATTTTGTTGAGGTAGTACAGTATTGTTTAAACATTTACGCAAGTGTTCATACTGTGTAATTCATATACAAGTAGCCCCCATCGTTACTAGTATCTGTAATTCATGTTATTAAGGAAAATCATCGGGATATCCATACTTATTCTAAACAAATTAACACGATTGTCATCAGCTAGTTTTTCCTGTTCATTTTCACGACATGCATCATCTCTCAGTGATGGGGAAGTGATCAAGCACGTCCTATCCAGTGCTCGGAAAAAGTACACAACAATATGGGAAGGAATATCTTCAGTAACGATATCGGAAAAAGTACACAACAATATGGGAAGGAATATCTTCACTAATTTTCTTGAAGTACAATATCAAACTTTGAATTATTCTACAAATGTCACCCTGGTAAAATACTAGCTGTTTCCTACCGACTCGGCTAGGGAGAATTTCTCTTAAGCTCATTCGGTAGAGCGTAGGACTAGTAATTATAAAGGCCAATGGTCCCGGTTCGACTCCTAGCGGAGGCATTGAAAAAATAATTACCTCCGTTATATTGGCGCCCACGTAGGGACCCGGGATATAAAAAAAAATAATGTCCCCTAGAAAACCAGGTACGAGTTCTTTCCTGGTATGTTATCCTGGTAAAATACTAGCTATTTCTTACCGACGCGGCTGTAAGGAATTTCTCTTTAGTTTATTTGGTAGAGTGTAAGGTTAGTAAGCCAGCGGTCCCGGGTTCGACTCCTAGCTGAGACATTGAAAAAATAAATACCTCTGTTACACATATTTATGGAAAAGTTATCATAAAAACTACGACAATAAAACAAAGTTCAACGTTCTATTCTAGTTCAATCCTTATAACCAGACGGGAAAGTTCAGAGTTGACCAGTCATTTTCAACTCTCCCGGATATCATAATACATCATTTTTCATATCGATGACGATCCGTGGTAGATTGTAGATGCTTTTTCTTTTCATTATTAAGTATAAGTGTGGCTAATGCAAATTTTAGGAAATGTTTCTTAATGTCTATAAACATACTCATATACAGTCATATTGATATATAGAAATAATTATACCAAGCATACGAAAAGAGGTTATTGAAATATTTGAAATTAGACTGGTTCTTTCATGAGAAATGATATAAAAATACGTTAGTGGATTGTTTAGCAGTTAAGTCTGTATCACTTAGAGGGACCATCCTTTAGTAAACCATCCTGGTTTGGCAACGTTGAAGCTGAATATAGAGAATGTAGATATGGCGTCTGTTTTATACACACAACGTGTTGCACCCTGTGTGGGAGAAAGGTATTGACGTATTATGAATATTTAACATTATGTAACAAAAATCATTGTTTTTTTAAAGCAATGATTCCGTTAAGGATCTAAAAACAGGGAGCTATGGTTCACTAGTAAGACACTCTAACAAGTGAGAAATTTTCTCTAGCAAATTGGAAGGAAGCGGCTTGTATTTTACGTAGGTGACATACTCTCCCTGCGGGAAAAGTTAACACTCGTCTCGAGTGTTTCCAGGAGTAACTGCGATGATAGTTAGAACAAGGCTTTGATTTTTTGTCAATAATCCAAGGACTCAACGTTGGGTACCAAAATGTTATTGAGATCATAGAACTCGTTGCCTCCGCTTGATATCCGTAGCCGTGTCGGTACAAAGTGGCTATTATTTGTTCATGGTGACATTTGTGTGACTGTTTCGTCGTGATACAACTGTTTTGCATCTCGAAAGCTAACTAATAGTCAAAACACAAGCATATGCTTTAACGATATAAACATATATAGTAATGTTTTGTTGTTGTCAGTCTAATGGTGATCTCTAGAATACCTCCAATATCTGGGTTGTAACAACGTATCAGACAAGGCTGGCCACTGTCACACAGACAGCATGGAGGATACGTTGTCGACTATAGCTGCGTATCTCTAGCTAAGAACAGGTATAGTGGACACAATCATTGTGGTATCCAGTCCAAGACTGGTTAATGTTGTAATATAACACATATTATTGCATGATAAAAAGGGCCAACACTATCGTAGAATATGTCGTGATAATTATCATTTTAGTGCATCACCGAATAATCTCTAAGGTGGCCAATATGCAATTTAGCCTCAACTTTTCTTGAGTTCTTCGGGGAACACATGTTTCGCTACGAATGAATAATTGAAAAATTAGGGACAACACATACATGTTGACTACTATAGTCTACTTATTTTGATATTCCAGATTCCTTATAACGGCGACCACGAACCACCAGCGGCGGATGCTTGCCCTAATGCAGCGACATCTCCTGGCAGATGGGACGGTTGATATGGTCGAAAATGATCCATCCTTTTCGTCACTGACTATCATCGGGTCAAATAGCGAAGAGATGACGGAGGACATGTGTGATGTGTCTGTTCTGGCTAAGGACTTCAGGTCAATGACGTGCAAAGTATGTAACTTTTATTGTGTGCTTATTTTCACGAATTGCATAAGAACCCGCGTGTCATATAATGTATGCCTACGTTTCCGAGGTTACCTATTACATTATCGCTGGAATTTATTTTGGTTCTGGTTACACAAAACACTCATTTTGAAATATAAAAAAATCTGTAACGTTATAAAGGGAATAGGTACTATTCCCCTTTTGCTGTATTTCTATAATAAAACATTCTATTGACTTCTTGTACCACTGAGGAGTCTAAAATGGACAACATGGACATAAGGTGCAGTAAATGTTGGTTTATTTGGCTTTCCTCGAAGCCCAATGGACGGAGTCCAATAAGGGAAATATAGGTAAATCTTTAACATCCTAGTCCTTCAGTACAGGTAAAGTGATTTGGTATTTTGGCCTCCTTTGGCAAGGGTGGCCAATTGTTCTATAATCGAAGAGTGTGGCATCGCTTTGGGTAGAGGCGCGGTGGTCGAACAGGAGAAACGAGGCAATTCCTTTAAAATCCTACTTTTTGTGTTCAGGTAAAGTGATTTGAACTAAATACTTTAGAGTATCCTTTAGCACTCAACTTGGTTTAAAGAAAGGATATGACCCCCAGGGAGCATAATGGCTGGGTCCAATAGGGGGGATTGGAATTTAATCGGATCCCCGTGCTGAAGCCACATACACGTTTGATAGGTATGGAGAAACAGACATACATAGTATATGCTACCAGGATTGGCTGTGAGGTCTAGCCTCACCACGATGGATTCAGTCCATGACTCAGATATATCTTTGAAACGGTTGAGATCCCCACCCTATGCTACTTGGATTGCCCCGAGGATTGTTCTCATCCGTGGGGACCTGTGCCTTGAGTTATAACCTGAAACAGGTGGGACCCCCACCCCATAACCATATGTACAATTGCTGGCCATGAAGAAACCATTACACAGACATGCTATCAGGATTAGCTCATCAACCAGTGGCCTGGCCCTGCACCTTGAGACGTATTTGTATTATTGCTCTTAATGAGCATATCTTGCCATTACTTCATTAAAGGGGAATCACGGTGAAGTAACTTTGTTTTTTGTCTTTTTTTCAAATACTACATAAACATATCAAGTGAGACTCCTTATGGAAAATAACGATCGGATTTGGCTTAAATAGATTCATAAAAATGATTAAATCTAAGAAAATCATTGGTATTTCTACCTGTCTGACCAAAGTTTTGTTCAGGGATTTCCCTCTACTAGCGCATACGTATAGCACACCATTTCTTTGTAAAAAAATGACTGGCCGTGTGAAATAAGCGAAAGAAAAGTGTTGTACCGTGTCAGCTACGAAACAAAGTTGCCAAATGGTCAAAAGATAGCGCAAGGAGTACGTTACGGAATCATTATTGCTGGTGGGCAGTATTCAAAGGAGAAAATAACTGCCCTAGCAGTTAGTACGGTGCATGTATTCTTCCGGATAGCCGGTTAAGCTGAAATGGAATCGATAGAAATGCTAGCGCTGTTTATGTTATGAATAAATATCTAAAACTATTAAGCTCGCTAGTATCTTAGTCTGAGTTTGAACACAGATGAACTTAGTTTAATATGTTAATGGGCATTTATCAAAGAGAGTTTACTTTGTGTTTCTATGATTATACAGTGGTTTATGCGAAAGGAAGAGATAAGTGACTGGTTAGTTTGATTTTGCCATGAGGCCCTCCAAGGGATAATTGTTGTGAAGGCCCACGGCGTATTGTCGGGGTCATCAAGATACGTGCGCTATTAAATTTACATAATTTATAATATTACCGGGTTCAGTAAAATAGTATGATTTGATTATATAGCTGAATTAAACGATTATTTTTGGTTTTACGTACAAGATTTAAATTAGTACTAATATGAATACCCGGCCTCCTCTGCCCCGGCAATATATAAAAAAAAAAAAACACCAGAAAGGTTTGTCCCATGGTTGAGGGAAGGTGTTTAGCCCCGTACCATCTGTACAGGTCACAATTGTAAATGTATGACGGGAGAAGGCTGTGATAAATTGTAAAACTTGTGCTCCATCCCTTGTTCAATTTTATTGGCAACAAATATGTTTAAAGCTAAATAAATTTAAATTCTGAATATTGGCAAGCGTGCAATTAACTTCTGATGATGAATAATTACTGTTCAATAAGTTTGAATACGGACTCAGAAATCATATTACTTGGTTTCATAGCGCGGTAAGAAGTTGCAGTTGCCTGACGGCCCCTCTCTGGGGGCCCCTCTGGAAACCGTTTCATCTCGCTCAGACCACTTGTGTTTACTGCCGAGTCAGGTGACTTTATTGGCGCTATTTTTAGCAGGGCTTTCCCGAACAATTCAAGTGGTCAAACTGGACATTTGGAACGGACAATGAATATGGGAATAGCGAGGTAACATAAGTGGAAGTGCAAACAATATATACATTCACTAAAAAAACATATGGCTCTTCACGTGATGTCCCTTTAACTCTCTGGGCCCATTGTTTAATGTAAAAAGGCAATCGATCATCCGCTTGAATCTCCGAGAAAATATTTAATTAGCAAATTAACGTGTAGGCCATCAAAATAAAAAGTGTGAAACGATTGGAAAAAATAAGAAAACATGTTCATTTCATTTCATATCAGTCATATATGTATAATGATGTCCTAGCAAATAGCATATTACAATAGTTACTTCGAAACTATATCATAAAGTGTAGAATATGAAAGTTTGCTTTGCACTTATTCATTTGCACTTTTTCAGGTTGTAGATGATGGATTTTCTATTGAAATCCGCGCAATGAGAATGCCAGTGTCCGGAATCGATTCTCTTACGCTATATATTCCGACCGACAAGGTATAGTAGCAACTTCTGGATTGAATTTATTTTACATATTGACATTATAAGTTTCAAATCTATTTCAATTCATGGTACATAACATTGTATAAAAATTCTTCTGGTTACGATTGAATTGAAATTATTTAAAAAGTTTACAAGAAAAACAAGAATTGCACTTGAAGTAAATATCGAATGTGTACGTATCTAAGGAGCTGATTTATAATACTAATATTTTTTGTATCGATTGTTGTTAAATATTTTAACATTTGTTATTGGTAGGACAATCGAGAGCATGCTTAAATGGATTCTCTTTCAGGTTGTGTTCATACATGTAGTTGAAAATTGGCAGCTTGGAATCCAAAATGAATTCTAAGTCTTTGCTTCAATAATCTGCATGTTCTAGTTGTGTTAGCAGACAAAACATCCAAATCACTTCATCCTCGTCTGCAAACACTATTGTGGCTTTACAAACCTTCCATAATAAGGTCGGTGTTAGGTTTCAGTGTTAAATAAGGTATGACCAGAATCCCGCTAATGTTTCGTATGTGCACAAGTACCTGCATGTAGTTGCTTTATTCATTGTCATGGAGCAGACGAATCAAGGACAGTCGATGCAATATGGCGTTTCATCTCAAGTAGCTTCCTGAATAATATTAGTTATCTCTGGGTTAGGAGGGGTCTACGGGCTCATACGACATAGACACCGTCTGGTCTTTATAGACCCCGAGCAAAAGGCAAGGGGTCTATAAAGACCAAAGGGGTCTATGAGCCCGTAGACCCCTCCTAACCAAGATATAACGAATTTGTCACCCTGACAATCTGTTATTACATTTTTTCCGGCAAAAATTTAAGTCACTTTGTGAGAATGAGTTGTACTTCTCTGCTACCAAAATAGCCCCTAGACCTACTGTACCGGACATCTTTTGTCGGAATAGTTGTCGGCAATATTTCGGACAAAACCATCTTTACAATCAGCACCCTAGCGGCCACCTCATTGCCTGTTTCGTTGAATTTGCTGTCGTTTTAGATTGCTTGTAAGCGATTTCATCCTGTCAATGATTTGCAAACCTCCAACGCTTGTGTGTGTCGGACGCCATCTTTGTTGTTATGAAGAGATATTCTAGCTTGAGTTATCTCCCCTCGCACGTGCTTTTATAGACCCCGGCAGATCGGGGTTTTTATAAATATAGATCCCGGCAAGTTATCCAATCAGAAAGAGTGTTTCAAATCAGAACGGTGACAAACATTCTTGACCAGTCGTGTAAGTTTATTTTATAATGTTTGTATCAGTACTGGATTTATGCAGAGTCAGTACAGTATCAGGCCTGTGCATAGATACACAGTATTATATGTACAAACTGTTTGATATACCCGTGGTCACTTTCGTGACGAATAGTTACAAGACATGTTACTGAGGAAAGGCATCGGGATATCCACACTCGTTCTCAACAACTTCAGACGGTTGTCATCAGCTAGTTTTTCTTGTTCAGCTTCACGACATGCATCATCTCTCAGTGATAGGGAAGTGACTAGGCACGTCCCGTCCAGTACTCGGGTGGTCATCTGTGGAGGGGGCGTTCTCGGAACGTCAGTAGCCTATCATCTAGCGGAAAGGGGCTGGCACGATGTAGTCCTGCTCGAACAGGGCAGGTATGTATACAGATGTCTTACATGAACAACGTCAAGGCACTCAAACATATAAAACTACTTTGTAAATATGGATCTATATTGGTTTGTTTTAATCCTAAGTCAGATTTCAGTTGTAGCGGAAATAATCAATAGAAATGTATACACATGATCAGTTCATACAATCTGTTTAACATCTCGCCCAAGCAGTTGTACTACAGCCTATTACTAAACACGCTTGTTGTTGGATAACAACATATGGTAATAATATAATATCAACTTCAATTATATCACAAAAAGTACGGAAAGACTATGACATGGTGGTATTCACCACCTTTGGGTCATGATAAATATCGACCCAAAGGGTAGGATTATTAAAGTTCTTCTGGCCGAGGTTGCCGAGGGTCAAACATTTCAGAACAATACCCCAAGATTGAGCGTTTTTCTGTCTTATTTCCAAAATGGAAAATAGTTATTTTTCTACAACCTCAAATACAAGTGGTGATTGGATGACACACACGCGTTGATCGTATGGTTTTCTGTGCTTTTCTGTTGTTGATATGAATCTGTGCATTGCTTATGTGACGTCATACAATTGTAATGTTTTGGGAATCAGCTTGTCTTTATTTTAGGGGAGGTAATAACATCTCTTATTGACTAGAAATGCTGATTTCTCTGTCTCATGGGACAATTTACTTATCTTGCATTCAAACACTAGACCCGGCACTATACACAGGAAACAGCTCGGTTTAACGGCTTTTCAATCCACAGCAACAATATTGAAATATCTGTTATTACATGGTATTGAACTGATATTGTGAGATTTGCGCAGCAAAAACAACCCAAAACAAATACCTAAAACTAAATATACCTAAAACTAAATATATATATATATATATATATATATATATGAATTCAATTAATCAAACAATAAGTATGTATTTTGTGATCAGTCTGACGTGCGGTACGACATGGCATTCTGCCGGCCTGATAGGACAGCTGGGGAAAGACGACATAGAGGGGTGTAAACTGATTGGATACGGTCTACAGCTGTATAAGGACTTGGAGAGGAGCCACGGCATAGGTGAGAATGGGAACCACATGTGGTACAATTCTTTACAACAACTTTTATGAGATTTCAATGTTACTTCGTATTAAATATAGGTGTTTTTCTTTTGTTAGTCTGAAAGATGTTGGTCATGTAAATTGTTCCTACATATTAGTGTATATTATTTCAAGGTACAATAAAATTTGATAAACGGCTCATTATAAAAACAGATTCTGGAATAACGATTTTAGGATCTATAACACGTGTACTCCGAAAATATGTCTATTCTAAAAAGACTCATTAGTCCCGGGTATATACGGTTAAAAATGTTACGATTTACACTAGATACTAATAACATCTATAATACTTGTATATAACAGGTTGGAAACAGTGTGGAAGTTTACTTCTAGCTCAGACCAAGGACAGACTCGTCACCGTTGAGAGGAAACATTCACTAGCCAAGTACGACATTCCCTTAGGATATCCATTGTGTAGACCTGATATATTTGATATAATAATGACAAGATCTGGAATATATTAATACACCTTTAAGTACGATCCTGTTTTCTACATGTATTAAACATGTTTTGAATTCAAATATATTTGGAAATATGATTTTTAAACGACAATCCTGTATATTTTTACATGTAATATATGCTATACATTCAAATATAAAAACGACTTTCCTGTTTAGGAATATACTTCAGATAAAAGCTTCATACCTCAGGTTCAAGTTTCATATTAAATCACTATTAGTGTTTTGAAAAAACGTCATTTTTGTGAGGTAAAATATGGGACTCGTAAATTAACTGATGGATTATATGAAAGGTAATTCAGGATGGATACATCGGAAACATTCTATGCTTAAACAATAAGAGGTCATGCTTATATTTATCACAGGTATAATGTGTGAAGTATTTCACAATACATGTATATCCCTAATGGGTATGGCTTTAACGCAATAATATGGATTTTTGTGAGGTAGCATATATATATGATATATGGGATTTTACCGTCTATTTTACTTTTTGACCCATATATATATATATATATATTAAACGACAATCCTGTATATTTTTACATGTGATATATGCTATATTACTTCATTGACCCATATATATATATATATCTATAAAGATATTTATGAAACCTGAAGAGCCCTGTGAAGGGTGAAAGCAGCTAGTTTTTTAGTCGGTCGTTCATTTTATTTTTTCTATATATATATAACTCTGATACAAGTCACAGTAATAGTGTACAAAGAATCATTTATCTTTAACCCTATAAAACATCACAGGCTGAATGCTCCAGCAAGCATATACTCATAAAACTAATTCAGTGAGTCTTACACTCATCTCTCCAACATAAATCACAGGTAAAATATGTAATGGAGAATTTAGCCACATTTCTATCTGAGGAAAATGCATATCTGTCTCCCTGACCTTTAAATAAATTCGTTTATGTATGATGAAAATAACCAGACATTATCAATATCTATAAACATAATTTGATTACCTAAGATCACTATTAGCTTTTTTGCCCATGTTAACATTTCCCCGTATATTATCATTATAACCGAATCCCAAATGCACTTCACGAATATATAAAATCGTTAAACGTCAATATATGTATTAAATCAACTATTAATAGTGTGCGCTAAAATATTTGTCTAGCATGCCCACACGTGTGCCATAAATTCTACTGTATGTAACCGTTTTAACTTTGTACAATCCAAAGGGTTATTGGTGTAGAATCTCACCTGGTTACTCCATCGGAAATCAGCGACTTGTGTCCATGGATAAAAACATCAGATCTTCAGGTAAATACTGCAAACCAGACAACGAAAATTGGCGATGTGTTCATTTCAGAGTTAAATCGTAAAGAGAGTCGATAATAAATTAAATAATTCGTAAACACTTGCTATGGCATTGTTCCGTTTCGTGAATTCAAATGCCCAGGAATGTGTCGTTCAAAAAGCGAATATTTTCATTTACATACCATAAAATTTATTGATTTGACAGGGAGGTCTTTGGATTCCGGGAGACGGCGTGGTGGCTCCAAACGACCTGGTATACGCATACAACAATGTGGCTAAATCCAAAGGTATGCTGACACATTATTTACTGCATATGCATTTATTAAAGTGGTACTGTTATTTACATCGGCCATAACAGTACTCCAAAGTGTGAGAAAGCTAGTACCTCAACCTAGTAGGTCGAACATAAGCCGTGACTCTGAAGTATGAGAAAGTGTTTAAGTTGACCATAGTGTGGAGTTCTGTAACTACTACACATGTGTTCGTCTATCTATCATGGACTCAAAAGTATCAGAACGCTAGCACTTCGTCCAAGCGTGTACGTTAACCAAATCATGTTTTTCCAGTACGAGAACGATAGTACGTCGACCGTATCACGGGACTCTGAAGTATGACTACTCTGATATAAATAGGTTTGTCAAATTATGTAAAGAGCAGTTTGGAGAAGGGGATAATGAACTATTTTTAATATCATATTGCGGAGTGTTAATCAACCTAAGATGGTAAGAAAATGAATGAAAACAAACACACAAGAACAAAGACTGAGCCCAAAATCCGATGCAAAACATGCAGAAAATGGAGAGATTTAAAAACAAATGAAACTATTTGAATGGTAGGGATAAAAAAACAAGAGAATACCGAAAATCAACAAAATTGTACTTCGAACTCAAATCGATAAACACAGGGTGAAATATGAACAAGAAAAGAGTTTATAAAACAATGCAAAAAAACAAAGAGAGTATGACCAGGTGTTCCGCAAAGGAAAGCGTCAAATCCTATTAATGTCACGTCCCCAAAGCGAGAACCATGTCAGTGACGACAAAAATTCTAGGCACATTAATGAACATAATCAAAACATCGACCTTCAGATAACATAAGGAAGAAGGATATTTCCAAGAGAGATCAAAATGGCCACCATAAAACTTGACAATTGTCTTCATTAGGATTTAAAGCACATTAAGAACTGTCCACGACACCCACAGTCTTATCCATTAAATGATGCTTATCAAGAACGATAAAAACAATAAATGAATATTTCATCATGATAGAATCTGAATTCGGTACTTGGAAATCAAGTTATGAACATTCTCCTCAGTGTAGATTGAGCTTTCATTGTAAAAAAAAACCTTGTGAATATGTATTTTAAGGGGATAGTGACTTATATTAATATTGCTTGTACACAGGGATCCAGGTGATGGAGGGAGTAAAGGTGGAGGATGTTCTCTCTACGGACGGCAAGGTGACAGGGGTACAGACATCGCACGGTCATATTCAGTGTGAATACTTTGTTAGCTGCTCTGGGCAGGTAAGTAAATTAGGTGTTCAGCGCAAAAACACGTTTATTAGGATAGGTTTACATGTACCCGGTAGAGTGTGTATTAAGTTAACGTTGGAGAATGAATCTTCATAAAAGAAATGATTCCAATCAATTTCTTGATAACTGCAATTGATACTGCTAAGATATAGTAAAACTCATCAAATTGTCTCTCTAGCACTAAGTATAAAATGGTTTTTTTCAATTTCCAAAAGTATCAAATTGACAATAACACCTTGTTTTGGGTAGATATTCAAACTTGATATGTTTTTATCGTCTGATTCGTTAAATGAAACATCTTATCTATGAGATAGCACATTCGTATTCTTATTAAGAATAAATCATCTATAAGATAGTATGCATTATCTATATGACACAGTGGGCGCGCCACCTCGGGGCGAGGTCGACTCCTTCGGTCCAGGTGCCTCTCCACTCCAATGAGCATTTCTATATCGTGTCATCAGCTATCCCGAACATGGATCCAATGATGCCAGGTACAAAACATAAGGAAAACAAGATACCGTCCGCCTACACAGAAACATATATTTCTTTTGGGATTATGTTAGCGTAAGATTGATAAAATCACAATTGCAACAACTTATACTCTTGTAAATATAGTGAGTTGCAATATCGACTACCCCCAAGAGGTACAGGCAGTCCACCTTCTGGCGTGCTTTGTGCTTTGAAGTCAACCGAGTCAATCATGGCATTACTCGGGATATTGGAGAATATAAAAAAACATCCTAAAAATCTATTCCATAATGATGGGGATTAGTTAATTTAAAATAAAGTACGCAGAATGATAATAAACTTAATGTATAGTACGGTGAAAGATAATAAGCTTAAATTATAATATTGTGAAAGTTAATCAACTTAATCTAATGTCTACATAAACGTTATGGTAAGGGTTACCTACAGTAACAATGGGAAGGAATATCTACATTAACAAAATGGAAAGTTTTCTATTCTCACAATAACATTATGGATAAGAGTATTTATTGTAACGAAATTGGAAGGAATATTTACAGTAGTAAATGGGGAAAATGACTGTTGTAGTTGTAACACGCACACACAACGATCAGTAAACGTACATCGCATGAACACGTAATCGTTAATGATGTCTTTCTATAGATCTGTATAATACTTGACTTCTGTGGTTACACAGTGATAAGGGACTATGATGGGTCTATCTACGCTCGAGAGTGGAGTGGGGGTCTACTTGCTGGAGGATTCGAACTTGAAGGAAAACCAACCTTCTCCTTTGGTGTGCCAGATAAATTTGAATTCCAGCTCCTTGCCTCAGATTGGGACCACTTTCGTAAGTATAATGAAAAGAAGTGTTTCAAAAACGCTTATTAATCTCATAATATTAGCATTCTAAAACGATAGAGGTTGCACACAACATTGCATGGCGAAGATTTGTTAATACCATGTTATTATTAGTATCAACTCCAAGTATGAATTAAAATGTATACGTTTTTCCTTCTGGGGCGGACTTTTTAGACATAGATTTAACGTTATTCTGGTCAAAAGGTCACGATGCAATCTAGCTAAACCGATGTTATTTCCTTCTGTTATTCTTTTTTAGTGTTTCTAAATAATGGTAATTCGGCTAACAACCAGCCTGTCATTGTTAACAGTTGTAGTGTTCTTCCTTCTACAACGCATGGTTTTGGTTAAGAGGTCCTGACGGACCAAATTTTAAATATTTTTTATTTCATTTTGTGAGAGTCCTTATCTCCCCTTTTTCAGAGGTCATGATGGAACCCATTCTCAACAGATTCCCAGCTATGGAAACGGCTGAAGTGCGGACACTAGTCAACGGTCCGGAGAGTTTTACACCGGACGGGAACTGGGTTCTAGGAGAATCAGCAGAGGTCTGCTTCATTTGTTATAGAATGTTCTGTTTTGCGAAAAATTGTTCCTAATTCTTAAATATAAGAATAATATACCGGCATTTTTTTCGGGGCGGAAGCTTAATTGGTCTCTTTTGTGTAACATAATGGTTAGTATATACATGTATTAAAATGACGAATATGGATGCATCTCCTGCCGACATAATAACTCATAGTATACTTTCAGTACAACATATTTAACATTTATCATATTTTATATTAAAAAAAAAGTTGGATAGAATCTGACAGGTCATCATAGCGAGTGCTGTCCAAAAGATTGCATTTGTTTTATGTTTTGAAGGTGAGAAACTACTATATAGCCGCCGGTATGAACGGTTTGGGAGTGGTGGGGTCTGCCGGAATCGGTAAATATATAACGGAGAGTATAGTGGACGGTGCCCCGGGCTCCAGTCTAGACGCTCACCATATCCTGAGATTCAACAAGGTCCATGGGAACAGACGTTTCTTGTTTGAACGCGTGAAGGAGGTTATAGGTTTGACTTGTTTCAATATTCTTGAAGTACAGTATCAAATTAAAAATAAAAACATTTTAAAGTTTTGATATCTCCTCATTCATTCAATTATGACTCATTTCATAATAAAACGGATTTACATTTTAATGTAACAATTATGTCCCTCAGAGGTCGAGACAACCAAATACATCGTTTGGGAAATGTGTGTGGCCATAACAATAAACAACATGGTAAAAGGCGGTAAGAGTTTAAAGATAAAAGGGTAGAAATTTAAAGACAAAGAGATTCAGAGTGTTCAGAGCAAATCAATTATTACGTCCACTTAAATCAGACACGAGTCTGCAGTTATTCTTCTCGTGAGACCAAACCATGAAATACTCGTCTGCAAAATCTGTTAACAGGTCATGTAGTTAGGACAAAGTTTGCAACGTTTTAAAATGCTATCCTTGCTCAGTTTTACATGTGTTTCATTTGCTGCTTAAGGTGCCTACAAACTACGCTATCCGTACACTCATTGGACAAAAGGGAGGAAGCTAAAAACATCCCCCATACACTCTGTGCTGGAGAGAGCAGGGGCCTGCTTCGGGGATCTACAGGGATACGAGAGGCCTTTGTACTTCAGAGAAACCAAAGGTAGATTGTAGATGATTTGTATATTAATAACGAAGTATTAGGGAGGCTAATCCAGATTTTGGGTAATAATGTCCCTGTCTTTAAACATACGAATAAAAATCTATAAAAATATTTCGAAATAACTATACAAAACGAGTTAATGTAATATTTTGAAAAATTAACGGTAATTTGGTGTGAAATGATATAAAATGATGGACACGGATTATTTCGCAGGTGAGCCTTCCGATCCGTATCACCTAGAGGGACCATCCTTCAGTAAGCCATCATGGTTTGACAACGTTGAAGCTGAATATAGAGCATGCAAAGATGGCGTCTGTCTTATAGACACATCGTGTTTCACCATGTGTGAGGTTAAGGTATTGATGTATTATGTATATTAACTACGTTTATTTAGTCGAGCACTTAGTAACATATGTTACCACCAAGTCATGATACAGTTAACTATTTTAATAATAATAATAATATACAAAATGTATATAGCGCCCTATGGATAATAGTAATAGTTATAATTGTGAAACAAAAACAAAGGCTTACTATCACTTCTATACATTTAAGCAAGCAATGTGCACATAATTGAACATATAAAGGGTGGTATTTACATGACGTCTCTGTAGAGACCCTAAAATTAGACTCGGTATGATAAAACTACCACCTGTTGGTGACTCTAGACATCTATGAAATCGACCCAAGCAAATAGATGTTCAAAACAGATTTCTATGTTAACGTTTTGTCGTTATCAGTCTGACGGTGGTGAGGCTCTAGAGTACCTCCAATATCTGTGTTGTAACGACGTATCAGGCCAGGCTGGTCACGCCACAAGGACAGGAATGCTGAACCAACAAGGTGGATACGTTGTCGACTGTAGCGTCGTCTCTCTAGCTCACAACAGGTATAATGTAAGATCTTTAGTATTCTAAACATATTCTGTTTCGGACACCATTAGTGTGGAATTAAGTCCAAGACTGATTGATAAAATAATCAAATCAACACAAATGATTGCATGAAAATACGGACGAACCCCAGCCTAGAATGTTTTGTTGGTGGTTATTCTCCCGACAGTGTATGACTAAGCTATTACCTAAGGTGGCCAACATGCACTTAGACGTCAGTTTTTCTCGGGTTTTAGAGGAAATATTCGTTTCGATACAAACAAAGAATTTAAAATGGCGACTACAGTTGTCTATTCATTTTGATAATTCAGATTCCTTATAACAGCGACCACGAACCACAAGCGGCGGATGCTGGCCTGGATGAAGCGCCATCTCCCGCCGGACGGAACGGTTGATTTGATCGAAAATGATTCGTCCTTTTCGTCACTGACTGTCATCGGGCCAAATAGCGAAGCGTTGATGGAGGACATGTGTGACGTGTCTGTGCTGGCTAAGGACTTCCGGTCAATGACCTGCAAAGTATGCTGCTTTTTTACAAGCTAAGTTTCACGAACTCCATGAAATCACGTGTCCTATAATCTATGTTTAGTCACAAAGTGTGGCCGTAACGTTGCTGCTGGAATATATTCTGGCATCATTTAAAAAGACTACTTTGAAATTAAAAACAAATCTGTAACGTAATGATTTTAAAGGCACCATTCCCCGTTTCATTTCTACAATTGGCGTAGTAAATCTGTACTTTGTTCTTTAGTTAGTTTATCTAAATATGTTCTTATCAAAGTGCAATCGACTATCGACTCGAATCTCCGAGAAAATATCTACGTAGGAAATTACAACTTACCTACAGTATCAACGAAAGGCAAACAACATTTACTGTGTGAAACGGCTGAAAATAGCAATAGATAGCACGATCATCACATTATATTTAGTAATGTATGTATAATGATTCAAGGCAGAAAACATGATATAATTAGTATGTCGGCGGGATTATTACTAACATTATGAGATGTACAATATAAAATCTCGCTTTACATTGTTTCATTTTTAGGTTGTAGATGTTGGATTTTCTAGCGGAATTCGTGCCATGAGAATACCAGTGAGCGGAATCGATTCTTTCACGCTACATATTCCGACAGAGGTAAAAACGTCTTGTCTGAGTATATGATACAAAAATCATATCCTTAGATCAGATCATACATTTAGATTCACGGTACATGACATATCATAAACATTTATGAATATGCCTGATTGGTGTTGCGATTAGTGAAAAGGTACACAGGAACTACCTTAGAATGATATCGTTGAGAGGATATTGGGTAATCGCATCCCCTTCTTTAATGAACTGCTAATACTTTTCCATGTCAACGTATATTGTTCATTATGTAAAATAATTTTACGGAAACGTCAACAAATGAAACCAATGTTTAAACATTCTTGTTAAACCACGTTTTCTATTAATATTTACGAATTTCAGAACACGCTGCACATTTATGAGGCGTTGAAGGAGGCAGGAATAAAACATGGTATTAAGGATGGAGGTCATTATGTCCTTAAACATCTTCGTCTTGAGAATAAAATCGCTTCTCAGGAGGATGACATTTCATCATTGACAACGCCGTTGGAATGTGGAAAGGTTGCCATTGTCAGTTTTGAGGTATATTTTGATTTGAGAATAAGCGCGTACGTTGTCACGTTGGTTAGAATTTTCCATGATTTAACATATACAGTCAACCGCTGTTATTATAAGTAACTTAGATTGGTATGAAGACAGACATATAAGGCACCATTTTAATTTTAAAATGTATATTGCCTTTTTCATCGTTCTTACAATGTGCTTGTAGTGTCTTCTATACAAATTACGTTTTACGTTTTCTTTTGATATTTTTTTTTTACATTTTACAGCGGATGTTTTTATCATATACTATCAAATATCCATATACTATCAAATATCGAAAAAAAAATACACTGTTTCTAATAATCTGATATATACCATTATCGGTTTTTTTTTACATATTAGAACTTATTTTACATTTCAGAAAACTAGTTCATTCCTCGGCAAAGAGGCACTGAAACAGCAGAAAAGGAATGGGATAAGCAGTCGTATTGTCCATTTGACATTAAATGACTTTAACATTGACTGTGACACTTGGCCGAGGGGTGGCGAACCCGTATACCGGAATGGTCAGTGTGTAGGGTCAACGTCTTCGTGCGGGTTCAACTTTGACCATAGAAAGTTAAATTGTTTAGGTTACGTAAATGTCGATTCAACACAAAATGCTGGACATAATTACATTTACGAACTCGCCATCGGTACAAAAAAGTACAACATTGATGTGAAAGTGTAACTCAAATATCAGTGGTGCGGAAAGCAAATCAAACAAACATGGCCAGAGAGCTTAACTCTATACTTTAGTTCAAAAACTTGTAAGGTGACATGGAACAATGCGATGATAAGTGGAATTTACCGCCCTTTTATTCTCGAAACCAATGACAGCTACATGTATACATATCACGTGTTTAAATGGGTCCATATTTCAATTCGATATTATCTTGATAATCATTATAATTTATGCTTAAATATGTATGTAGCTTACGAAAAATATGTGTTTAATTATAGTAGTAAAATGGAGAGTCGACTGTGGATCAAATTATTTTTACTTTTTTCGAGGAAATCATTTCTAAATAAAAGTTCGTAATAAAACTTGTTCATTATTTAATAAGACACACATAATTCTACCGGCACATAAAGATATTACAAGAACACTGGGCGCATACTTACATACTTGTATACATCGTACAAATATACAAATGCAATATGACATGTTTTTCTTCCTTTAAAAAGGTTTTATACGTCATTAAAATAATATAGACAGACATTAATAAAAACAACCGATATGATATCACATGCAAACTTTTAGAAATGTTGGCATTTCCATTCTGTCAACCTTAAATGCTGTACTGGTCTATACCGGCAAATATTTAGAACAAAATTTATAATATATAATATTACTGTTTAGAGAACGTAACACCAATGTTTGTCAGCACTCTAGCGGCTTCAATCCTTGAGGGATTTTGATCAAACTTTATACAATTACATAGAACCATACTATCTCGGACAATTTCGAGTTTCTGGGTTGTTATATCAAGGTCAAGGTCACCGATACTATTATTAGAAAATCCTTGTCAGCGCTCTAGCGGCTTCAATCCTTGAGGGATTTTTATCAAACTTCATACAATTACATAGAACCATAATATCTCGGACAATTTCGAGTTTCTGGGTTGTTATATCAAGGTCAAGGTCACCGATACTATTATTAGAAAATCCTTGTCAGCGCTCTAGCGGCTTCAATCCTTGAGGGATTTTTATCAAACTTCATATAATTACATAGAACCATAATATCTCGGAAAATTTCGAGTTTCTGGGTTGTTATATCAAGGTCAAGGTCACCGATACTATTATTAGAAAATCCCTGTAAGCGCTCCAGCGGCTTCATTCCTTGAGGGATTTTGATCGAACTCCATACAATTACATAGAACCATAATATCACGGACAGTTATATCAAGGTCAAGGTCACCGTTACTATATTTAGAAAATCCTTATCAGCGCTCTAGTGGCTTCATTCCTTGAGGGATTTGGATCAAACTTCACACAATTACAAAGGACCATATTTCTCTGACAAGTTCGAGTTTCAGGGTTGTTGGGTCAAGGTCAAGGTCAGCGTTACTATTATTTAGAATTTATTTAATACCACAAAAGCAACAAAATATAATAATCATTTTATTTTATATAATTCCTCTGTCATAATACTAACATTACAATTTCTTGTATTATTATTACAAAAAAAAATCAGTTACAAGCTAATTGTATACTTTTCATTTTCCCAAACTCATACCAGAGGGCATCATTTTTATAAATCATTACAGTGTAATAGCTAGCATGGACCGGTAGGGGACATGTATTGCTTTAGCAATACTCAGTATATGTAGTATATACAGGTATAGATGGTGTGATATATAAATGTATTAAAGGTTCCAATATGTTTCAAGAAGGCACATGTCAGACCATGTTAAAGAAGCCTGGAATGGACAAGGAGGAGTTGAAAAACTACCGCCCAGTTTCAAATCTGCCTTTTTTGTCTAAAATCTTGGAGACGTTTGTGTCCCGGCGTTTAGAGGTTCATCTCCATGCAAATAGTCTCCATGACAACATGCAATCGGCCTACCGCATGGGACATTCTACTGAGACGGCCCTCCTACGTGTACATAATGATATAGCTTCTGCATTGGATAACAAGTGCAGAGCGGTGCTTGTCATGCTGGACTTGTCAGCTGCATTTGACGTCATTGACCATGGCATACTTTATAAACATCCAGAATACTCTTATGGAGTGACTGATACCGCACTATGCTGGATACAGTCTTACCTGATTGAACAACGACAGTGTGTTGCCATCGGATCTTCCACCTCACATGACAAAATTCTAGATTTCAGGGTTCCTCAACGGTCGGTGTTAGAACCACGAAAATATTGTAAGTACTCCAAACCGATTGGAGAGATTTGTCGTTGCCATATCCTTCGCTATCATTGCTATGCCGATGACAAACAAATTTACATGGTCATCAAACCACAGGACAGTTGGAATACAGTCTCAGAAAGTCTGGAAGCTTGTCTGACAGATATCAGTATCTGGATGAACGCCAACATGCTTAAGCTTAATGATCAGGAAAAGACGGAACTAATCGTCTTTTCCCCAAAGTGTCAGCAAACAATGGATCTCCAGCTCAAGGTCGGTGCTAGAACTATTGAGACTGTTCCAGCTGTTAAAAACCTTGGCATAACATGAAAATATAGAAATAACAAAAAGCAACACAAAGAAACATGACAATATGAAGTAATATAACATACTTTATTACATGGAAGTATCAGACATAAAAGGTTGTCTGTGTTCGTATGCCCTTTTGTTACTGACCTATACCTGGTATATGCAGACTTAAATAATAACATATAGATACACAAAGTATAATATTAAGTCTGATATTTAAATGAATTATCCATTTAATAGTTGGAAATTAATCAAAACTTTAAAAACAGTTTATCATGAATATTATAAAAATAATTTAGTGATTACATGTCTTGGCATCAATTTCAATCTACATAATATGCAAATTTTATTTTTACACCTTTTTGAATGTATAACTTGTTGACTTGGAGAAATGTATGCCCTTCATTACCAACATTGTACCATGTTTACCGTGAATAAATTCTCTTGGTTTATACAAACATATAAACATTCCAGCAATACAATACGTATGGGACTATAAAGGAAAGAAAGATATTATTATGATAAATAATACTGAAATCTATCAAAAATTACAAAAAAAATTAACACAAATTATTATTTTCATGAACCTTAAAGTGATTGTAAACTTTAAACTAAATCCTGTTCAACAAATCAATGATTCTCTACAAAAACATGACACCAGTTAGCCAATACCTTGAAAAGCTTACACTTAATATACAGGAAAGTTAACATGCTTGAACTTGTTAAAAAAAATCTTTAGAATGTATTTTATGCTACAATTAATCATACTGGGTATTAACAACATAGACCATAATTCTTATGTTAAACCTGAATTTGTTCCTGATCCTCAATCTAACCTAGAACAATCTCAGTCACACAGAAATATTACCAAACCGGCAGGAATTCAACAGAACACAGTATAATCTTTGGTATACATTTTGCATTATTTCATTTTGCACTATTTTACATTTAGCACTTTTTCATTTTGCACTATTTCATTTTGCACTTTTTCATCTTGCACCATTTTACATTTTGCACTATTTCATTTTGCACTATTTTACATACAAGGTGTAATTCCTGATGTGGAATACCTCTAATATCAAGTTACCTTCATGTGGAATACCTCTAATATCAAGTTACCTTCATGTGGAATACCTCTGATATCATGTTACCCTCATGTCAAACTTCTCTAGGCTTTGGTGAACTATCTTGTTATCTTCATGTGGTTAAACACCCATTTAGGTAAGTTTTATAACAAAAAATCATGTCTGCATACCTACATGCTTCAGGGTTATAAACATTTTGATCACAGTCCGAGTTTGAAAGGAAACAATAATGGCTTCCCAAACACACATTATTGTTTAAGAGAAAAAGTCTGTTTAAGTGATAACTCGTGAATAATGATGATAGTTTATCATGTCTACCTAATTTCTTATTAATTTATTAAAGACGATAAATATTAAATCTATCATATCAAATATTTTCTTATTTTGATGGAATCATTCAGATTACAGTAATAAAAAATCCTGTATTAAGAACATCTGTTTAGGTTAATCTAATGACATATTTCTAGTACATGATTATATATCCTCTACACCTGACTCACACATCATGTAAGTAATTACAATTAATGATCAAATAATCAACAAGGATACATGTACATCTACATTTCTTCACTTTAGCCGTGTTTGTTCATGAATTGTCATCCATCTCAGATATTTATTGACTTTTAATTTAATTCAATAATCTATTAATGAAAACTGCTTCTATACCTTTAAACATGTTACATTTGCGGAGGTTTAATTGTCTAAAGAGATGGGAACTAGAACCACTGCCATTTACAGACAAGAATTTTATTACAGAAGAGTTCTTTATCGACAGGTATTCCATTACAGAATAAGTCTTTATCAAATTTTGTCAGTTTTAATAAACTTTTATCTGCACCTGAAGTTCTTCAACTAATGTGAAAAAAATGCAATTGCTCATGATATTAATTCAAAATCAATACACTTACATTTACACTTAAAGAACTTTATCTAATTATAAGAAAATCAAATTGCACATGATATTGCACATGATACTGTTTTAAGATTTAACCATACATGGAGCTAGATTCTAGCATGACAGGATTTTATATTTCTTTGAGAACAAGTCCTTCATAGAATCTTTGGCGAGTAACTGTTACAGCAGTGATGTTAACGTGATTAGATAATTTTCTAAATACCTGAAGTTGACTTAACCTGTATCACTGTAGGTCCAATAACTGTGTCCTTAGATATCTAACATTCACACAGTAGTAAAACTCCATTCATGTGGTATTCATTGATGGGACTGGGATGAAGACTGGCTCGGAGGCTGAGTAGGCTGCCTTGTGAGTGTAAAGACGCACTTTGGCTTCAAACATCCGACCACCAATAGCTATTTCATACTTTGCATTCCTGTCCAATACAAATTGGTTCATGTTTTTGTACATGACGCTCTTACCCTGCTCGTCATAGTCTCTGATAAAACCAAGACACACCATCTTATCCAGCTTGAATCCATACCCGCTAGATGTTGTGGTTCCAGAGAACTTGCCATTACGATAGATTGGTTCTCCTCCCCAAGGCCACACGTCCTCGTCAACATTGAAGTCCTCCAGTAAGAACTGAACAAACCTTTGGCTGATCCCCTCTTCCTTCTGCTTCAGTAATGCCTCCTTCCCGATAAAATCTCCTGCCTGAACATAACAAAAGTAAACCATATTGTAGAACTCCAAAATTCTGTAAAGCGTTTAAATTTCATGAGGGTTCTATTTTCACTTAATCTAACACAATCCTGAATATATCTTCAAAATCTTAACTCTAATATTTTCCAATGTTAAAATAAAAATAAAATAAAAAGTAGCAGAAAATAAACACATCATAAATTTTGCCCAGGTACACATAATACAATTTTAATAAGATATCAAATTTCATTTTATTTAGTCATAAAGATACATTTATCATCATTCACACAAACTTAACCAACCTTGCTTTTCATTGTCCAATGGTATTTATTTCAAAGATTACATACATGTTGTAAATTCATTTTATATAGTACTGATGATACTAAAAGTATAGTATGAGTGTTTAGTTTCAGAACTTTAAAGTCTACATAAAGCATCCTTTAAAAAACACTATCAAATGTGTTTGATGGAATCTGCCTTACATCAAATTTGACCCTGAAGTCGCGGCCACACTCAAGAGGAGTGGTGTGGGTCGTGAGATCCATGCCCCAGTATGCATAGAACTTCTCAATACGCAAAAATTTCAGGGCATAGTAGCCGGCGTGACGAATTCCGTAATCCTTCCCTGCAGTCATCAATGTGTCGTACACATGGAGTGCATACTAGGAATAAAATATCATAGGTCAGCTGGAACCATCAAGTCTACTGCCCAACATGTAAAAGTCTACTGCCCAACATGTAACACATTCATAAGCTGGTATTTACTTAAATCTATAATCATTACATTATCAGCTTAGCTAATGTAAACTCCAGTTTAAAGTATATCAGTTTCTTATAGGTTACAGATACATCAAACCTCTTGTATCAGCTTTTTTGAAAAGTGTGGCATATAAAAATCTTCTGAACATCTAGCAAAGTTCTCTAAAGACAAATTTATTCAGTGGTATTACCGTATTTTTTCAATTGTAATCAGCTAAGTGATGGGATTGATATCAGCCACAGGGCTTATGACCAATATATAAGTAAGAAGTACAAGTTACCTCGGAGGGAACATAGAGGACAAATCCGTCTTCTCCACCATGTGTCAGTCTCATGGCCCGGATATCACTGGCAAACCCAACATCTATAACCTGTAACCAGATGGGTATTCTTTTATAAAACCTCCAAAATATACACCCAAAATAATTTGTAAATCTGTAGCAGAATACCTGGAATCCATAATTCAGTCTTCAAGAAAACTGGGGTATTAAGGAAGAATTTTACCAAAAGCATCATTTACTTAAAGAAAGTGGTAAAAGAATTTTACACGTTGCTCAGGTCTGTGACATCGTGATGGAAGACTATCCATAGAAAATACTTATTTATAATTAAAACTGAAACAGCAAAGATTGGCCATGTGGTATGAGCATTTGGAAGACTTTTTGTCTTGTCTGATGCTAAAAACTGAGATTTGTAGGCAATTATATCAAACTCTTAAAGGGTATCAATTATATCAAACTCTTAAAGGGTATCAATTATATCAAATATGCCATTAGATATACTATCCTTGTCATCACTTATCACTTAACTGAGAGTTAGCTTTGCAAGCAACACATGCTTGGTTTATTTCTTCTGTTAAAATTGAAAAATAAAATAGATGCTCAGGTTCTTTTTTATTGTTTAATTTGAATTTCATACCAAGTATGTATTAAGTGAACAAATAACAACTTTATTTAATTATTGGGGCTTGCAGAGCATAATCCCAATAAAATAGTAACTGTGGACATACGAAATGGCCACAATAAGTAATAAGAGTTGGTACTTAAATTAACTGACACCTTATTTTAATTTTATGCAATTGACATCATTGACAAACTATAGTATGTGATGAACTGATTCAGTCCCACTTAATGTCAGTATACTGAGTAGTCTACTGATTCAGTCCCACTTAATGTCAGTATACTGAGTAGTCTACTGATTCAGTCCCACTTAATGTCAGTATACTGAGTAGTCTACTGATTCAGTCCCACTTAATGTCAGTATACTGAGTAGTCTACTGATTCAGTCCCACTTAATGTCAGTATACTGAGTAGTCTACTGATTCAGTCCCACTTAATGTCAGTATACTGAGTAGTCTACTGATTCAGTCCCACTTAATGTCAGTATACTGAGTAGTCTACTGATTCAGTCCCACTTAATGTCAGTATACTGAGTAGTCTACTGATTCAGTCCCACTTAATGTCAGTATACTGAGTAGTCTACTGATTCAGTCCCACTTAATGTCAGTATACTGAGTAGTCTACTGATTCAGTCCCACTTAATGTCAGTATACTGAGTAGTCTACTGATTCAGTCCCACTTAATGTCAGTATACTGAGTAGTCTACTGATTCAGTCCCACTTAATGTCAGTATACTGAGTAGTCTACTGATTCAGTCCCACTTAATGTCAGTATACTGAGTAGTCTACTGATTCAGTCCCACTTAATGTCAGTATACTGAGTAGTCTACTGATTCAGTCCCACTTAATGTCAGTATACTGAGTAGTCTACTGATTCAGTCCCACTTAATGTCAGTATACTGAGTAGTCTACTGATTCAGTCCCACTTAATGTCAGTATACTGAGTAGTCTACTGATTCAGTCCCACTTAATGTCAGTATACTGAGTAGTCTACTGATTCAGTCCCACTTAATGTCAGTATACTGAGTAGTCTACTGATTCAGTCCCACTTAATGTCAGTATACTGAGTAGTCTACTGATTCAGTCCCACTTAATGTCAGTATACTGAGTAGTCTACTGATTCAGTCCCACTTAATGTCAGTATACTGAGTAGTCTACTGATTCAGTCCCACTTAATGTCAGTATACTGAGTAGTCTACTGATTCAGTCCCACTTAATGTCAGTATACTGAGTAGTCTACTGATTCAGTCCCACTTAATGTCAGTATACTGAGTAGTCTACTGATTCAGTCCCACTTAATGTCAGTATACTGAGTAGTCTACTGATTCAGTCCCACTTAATGTCAGTATACTGAGTAGTCTACTGATTCAGTCCCACTTAATGTCAGTATACTGAGTAGTCTACTGATTCAGTCCCTCTTAATGTCAGTATACTGAGTAGTCAACTGATTCAGTCCCACTTAATGTCAGTATACTGAGTAGTCTACTGATTCAGTCCCACTTAATGTCAGTATACTGAGTAGTCTACTGATTCAGTCCCACTTAATGTCAGTATACTGAGTAGTCTACTGATTCAGTCCCACTTAATGTCAGTATACTGAGTAGTCTACTGATTCAGTCCCACTTAATGTCAGTATACTGAGTAGTCTACTGATTCAGTCCCACTTAATGTCAGTATACTGAGTAGTCTACTGATTCAGTCCCACTTAATGTCAGTATACTGAGTAGTCTACTGATTCAGTCCCACTTAATGTCAGTATACTGAGTAGTCTACTGATTCAGTCCCACTTAATGTCAGTATACTGAGTAGTCTACTGATTCAGTCCCACTTAATGTCAGTATACTGAGTAGTCTACTGATTCAGTCCCACTTAATGTCAGTATACTGAGTAGTCTACTGATTCAGTCCCACTTAATGTCAGTATACTGAGTAGTCTACTGATTCAGTCCCACTTAATGTCAGTATACTGAGTAGTCTACTGATTCAGTCCCACTTAATGTCAGTATACTGAGTAGTCTACTGATTCAGTCCCACTTAATGTCAGTATACTGAGTAGTCTACTGATTCAGTCCCACTTAATGTCAGTATACTGAGTAGTCTACTGATTCAGTCCCACTTAATGTCAGTATACTGAGTAGTCTACTGATTCAGTCCCACTTAATGTCAGTATACTGAGTAGTCTACTGATTCAGTCCCACTTAATGTCAGTATACTGAGTAGTCTACTGATTCAGTCCCACTTAATGTCAGTATACTGAGTAGTCTACTGATTCAGTCCCACTTAATGTCAGTATACTGAGTAGTCTACTGATTCAGTCCCACTTAATGTCAGTATACTGAGTAGTCTACTGATTCAGTCCCACTTAATGTCAGTATACTGAGTAGTCTACTGATTCAGTCCCACTTAATGTCAGTATACTGAGTAGTCTACTGATTCAGTCCCACTTAATGTCAGTATACTGAGTAGTCTACTGATTCAGTCCCACTTAATGTCAGTATACTGAGTAGTCTACTGATTCAGTCCCACTTAATGTCAGTATACTGAGTAGTCTACTGATTCAGTCCCACTTAATGTCAGTATACTGAGTAGTCTACTGATTCAGTCCCACTTAATGTCAGTATACTGAGTAGTCTACTGATTCAGTCCCACTTAATGTCAGTATACTGAGTAGTCTACTGATTCAGTCCCACTTAATGTCAGTATACTGAGTAGTCTACTGATTCAGTCCCACTTAATGTCAGTATACTGAGTAGTCTACTGATTCAGTCCCACTTAATGTCAGTATACTGAGTAGTCTACTGATTCAGTCCCACTTAATGTCAGTATACTGAGTAGTCTACTGATTCAGTCCCACTTAATGTCAGTATACTGAGTAGTCTACTGATTCAGTCCCACTTAATGTCAGTATACTGAGTAGTCTACTGATTCAGTCCCACTTAATGTCAGTATACTGAGTAGTCTACTGATTCAGTCCCACTTAATGTCAGTATACTGAGTAGTCTACTGATTCAGTCCCACTTAATGTCAGTATACTGAGTAGTCTACTGATTCAGTCCCACTTAATGTCAGTATACTGAGTAGTCTACTGATTCAGTCCCACTTAATGTCAGTATACTGAGTAGTCTACTGATTCAGTCCCACTTAATGTCAGTATACTGAGTAGTCAACTGATTCAGTCCCACTTAATGTCAGTATACTGAGTAGTCTACTGATTCAGTTCCACTTAATGTCAGTATACTGAGTAGTCTATTGATCCAGCCCCTCTTAATGTCAGTATACTGAGTAGTCCACTGATCCAGTCCCTCTTAATGTCAGTATACTGAGTAGTCTACTGATCCAGTCCTACTTAACGTCAGTATACTGAGTAGTCTACTGATTCAGTCCCTCTTAATGTCAGTATACTGAGTAGTCTACTGATTCAGTCCCTCTTAATGTCAGTATACTGAGTAGTCTACTGATCCAGTCCTACTTAACGTCAGTATACTGAGTAGTCTAACTAGTCGTCTGCAGAGGGTCCAGAACACTGCAGCACGGCTAGTTACTCGTACTCTAAAGAGAGAGCACATCACACCTATGCTTTATTCGTTGCACTGGTTACCTGTACAATACAGGTCGCAGTACAAAATTCTGGTGTACACATACAAGGCACTGAATGGAACAGCTCCTCAGTACCTACAGGAGCTTGTTACCCTGTATCAGCCGTCTTGATCACTGCGATCGGAGTCAGAATCTTTGTTGTGTGTCCCAAAATCTTGTACTGTGACCTACGGAAACAGATGCTTTGGGAGGGTTTCGGCTACTTTGTGGAATAGCTTATATAATTACCATCTGCTATTAGAAAGTCAAATACCCTGGCCAAGTTCAAGAGGGACATCAAAACTCACCTCTTCACATCTGCATTTAAGAATCCTTGCAAAGACGTCATGTAAATACCGACCTTTTATTTGTTCAATTATGTGCACATTGCCTGCTTAAATGTATGAAAGTGATTGTAAGCCTTTGTTTTTTGTTTTCACAATTAGAACCATTACTATTATCCATATGTTATAAAGCGCTTTAGAGTAATTTTACAAATTATATAGGGCGCTATATTAATGTTGTGTATTATTATTATTATTATAGTCTACTGATTCAGTCCCTCTTAATGTCAGTATACTGAGTAGTCTAGTTTCAAAGTGTATACCTTGCATGTCATAGGTTTGAAGTCCTTCAGAGTGGTCGAGATGTCTGTCACATCAGCTAGCAGTTGTTGGGCATGAGGACCTATTACATTGATCCCTGCATACGCTGATGTGATGTCTCGGATCTGAACTGACCCATCCTCAGGCTGGAACCGCTGCAGCCAAGCTAGGGATCTGGTCTGCTGGGATGCCGGGGATATTATGAAAAAGCTGAGAGAAAGTTGGAAAAAAAATAAATCAAAAGGAATAACTGAAAATGTAGCACAAACACCTTATTGATTACGGCTTACAAATACTTTATTGATTTCATTTCTATGTAGGTGAAATTGATAGTCAATGGTAACTCTATGTGAAGTAGGGTGACTAAATAGCAACTAAGGGTCTATACTGCTACCCATGTTTATACACAACAAAAACGATGAAACAACAGTTTACCTGTTTATTACCATTCGAGATATTTAAATGAGGCAGATAGCAAGATAAAAAGACAAGAGGCCCAAGGGCCTTAGCGGTCACCTGAGTTATATCATAGATACTGGTAGCTTTATTTTATTGTTTAGATGTGATGTGGAAATCAGCATGTAAACTAAGTGAAATACAATACTTGTCATGTCATCAATGGATAAGAATTTGAAAATATTGGTAAATGTTCCCTTTGGGGCCCCGCTCTAGCCCCTGGGGATGGGGCAGGAATCCTAATTTTACAAAGTAAAACTCTCATTTACCCAAGATGATTCTGACTAAGTTTGAGCAATTTTCTGCTGAAAATATATAAAATATATACCGAAAAGTGTTATTTCCCTATATAAACTATATTAAACGTTAACCCCTCCCCAAGGGAGAACGGATAGCTCGGGGTCCTGATATTTTCAATTTAAATAAAGCCCCTGATGATCTTTCTTTCCACGTAAAGAAAATCACTGTAGTACCTCTGAGTCTGGAGAAGAAGATTTTTGAAATATTGATTAATTTTCCCTTTGGGGCCCCGCCCTGGCCCCAGGGGTCGGGGTAGGAATCTCAATTTTACAATTTGAAACCATCTACCTCCAAGGATAATTCTCACCAAGTAAAAATAATTTCCTACAGAAAGTTGTCAAAATATACCCAAAAGTGTTATTTCCCTATATAAACTATAGTAAACTTTACCCCCTCCCCAAGGGAGAACGGATAGCTCGGGGGTCCTGAAATTTACAATTTAAG